CGCCTACCCCCTGTATTTATGACCCCTTCTGCGAAGGCATCTATTAACCAAATACCAGCATTTTTGCTTCTAATCACCTCTTTTATGTACCTTCTTGTCCCCATGTCATGCTACTAAGATAAAGACCTTTACCTCTTTTCTAGGTGTGTTTTCTTTATTTTGATGTATGGGTCCTTCTGTTGTGCTGCTTCTGTAATCACTGGTTTACTGTCTTCCCTTCAGTTTGGCAGTGCATCTGGGGTAAGGGGACAGGGCAGATGTCGTCTATATGTCCATGTAGCCATCACCACCATCATGATGCTTAAGTACCATCACCACACACGGTGACCCCAGATGCATTTTGGCCACACCCAGCCCCATCCCTAACCCCAAAGACCTGCACTTCCGTCACTTCGCAGATGTCATGTAAGTGGACTCTCGCCGCACTCACCCTTTAATAACTCTGCCCTTTGGACTCGCCAGCTCACTGTGTAGACCAGAAGTTCATTCCTTCATATCTCTGAGGACAACCGTGGTGCTGAATTTCCGCACTTGAAGATTTTCTTATTGTCTGCTACTGATTTTCAGTTTGATTCCATTTTTTTTTCAGAGGCCATAGTCTGTATAATTTCTTTTACATTGATTTTGCTCTGTGGCCCAAGATGTGGCCTCTCTTGAATTATGATCCATGGTCACTGGAAAAGAAGTGTACTCTGCTTTGATGGGTAGAGTGTTCCATAGATGTCCCTTAATCCTGTCGGTTGATGGCAGTGTTCTTCTATATCCTTGCTGAATGTCTGTCTAGTAACTCTAGCAACAGGGGGCACCTGGGTGGCCCAGTAGGTTAAGCATCTGACTTCACAGTAATTCTAGCAACTGCTGAAAGTGGGTAGGAAGTCCTCACATAAAGTCCCTCGTGTTTATGTGCCTGTACACTTGGGATTGCTAGATCTTCCTAGCCGAGTGACCACTTTATCATTAAGTAATGTCCCTCTCTTTTTGGTGAAATTTTCTTTGCTCTGAAGATGACTTTGGCTGATGTTAACATAGTATATCTGCTTTTCAAAAGTTAATGTTCACATGATATATCCTTTTCCGTGCTTTTACTTTTTTTTTCTTTCTTTTTTTTTTTTCCTGAGAGAGACAGTGTGAGCAGGGGAGGGTCAGAGAGTGAGGGAGATACAGAATCTGAAACAGGCTTCAGGCTCTGAGCTAGCTGTCATCACAGAGCCCAACACGGGGCTTGAATCCACAGACCATGAGATCATGACCTGAGCCAAAGTCGGATGCTTAATTGACTGAGCCACCCAGGCGCCCCTCCATGCTTTTACTTTCAATCTACCCATGTCATTGTGGCTGAAGTGAGATTTAGCATATAGTAGACAACGGGGAGTCAGGTCTTGGTTTTTTATTAACTCTGTGAACCTCTGTCTTCTAACTGGTGCATTTAGACCATTTACATTTAAAGTAATCATTGACATATTAGAGCTTCTGTCTGCCATTTCATTATTTGTGTTTGTTTCCTCTCTTGTGCCCTGTGAGATCCTGAAACACTTTTTACAATTCTATTTAATGTTTTTGCCTCTACAACCATGTTGAGTGTCCTCAGTGGCTGCTCCAGACATCGCCACACACATACACACTTAGAGGTCCCCTGGTATTGATGTTGTATACGCTGAGTACAGTGTAGAAACCTTACTGCCACTTGCACCCCTTCATCCTTCCCACTTTTCAAATACAATTTTCATAAATATTTCCTCCCCATACACTGAGCACATCAGTGTTAATTTTTGCTTCAACCATAAACCATGATTAAAGAAACTTTCAGGGGCACCTGGATGGCTCAGTCGGTTAAGCGTCCGACTTCGGCTCAGGTCATGATTTCACGGTTCATGGGTTCGAGCCCTACACTAGGCTCTGTGCTGACAGCCAGCTCAGAGCCTGGAGTGTGTTTCAGATTCTGTGTCTCCCTCTCTCTCTGCCCCTCCCCCGCTCATGCTCCGTCTCAAAAATAAATACTATTAAAAATTTTTAAAAAAGAAAGAAAGAAACGTTCAAGGTGAAAGATGGTCAGTCATGTTTACTTCTACTTTTACCAGTGCTATTGTTCTTAGTTTCCTGAAGGCCCTGCCTTCTTGTTATAGTTTTCTTCTTGGACAGCCCCCTTTAATCATTCACCAAGAGCAAGTCGGCTAGCTATTAATTCTGTCCATCTGCCTCTGTCTGAGAATATTTTTATTCCTCCTCCACTCCTGAAGATAGTCCTGCTGGAAACTGCTCTTTCAACCCTTGAACAACGTGCCGCTTCCTCCTGGCCTGTGATGTGGGATAAGACACCTGCTGTCCTTCCTGCTGCTGTTCTGCTTCAGGCCACACATTGTTTCTATGCGGGACATTTCTTCTCCTGTCTTTGGTTTTCAGAAGTTTAACTATGATCTGTTGGGTGTGGGTTTTTAGAAGTTTTATCATACTTAGGGCTCGCTCAGCTTCTTTAAAATGTGGCTTTATGTCTTTCACCATTTGGGGAGTTTTCAGCCATTATTTCTTTAAATACCTCTTCCTCACGTTCTTCCTCCTCTAGTTCTGGGCCCCTGGTGACACAAATCACTGTCCTACAAGACACTCAGCTCCACTCCCCCTTTTGCCTGGTGCCCATGATTTGTCACTTGGATTGAGTGAACACTCTGCTCTACCTTCATGTCTCCTGACTCGATCCCATGGTCTCCCTTCTGCCACTGTGTCCTTACAGGGACATGGTGATCAGCGCAGCCAGTGGTGGGCACAGTACTATTTAGGTCATCCTGGTTTTCAGTTCAATGATTTTCATTTATTCCTTTTATAATTTCTATTTCTTTGCTGAGATGTTTTTTTCCAATGTGTTTCAAAAGACTTCCTAAATATGTTTTTTACAAGCCATTTTTACAATTGTTTTGAACTCCTTGTCAGATAATTCCAACACCTGATTCATCTTGGCATTTGTATCAGTTAGTTATTGGTTAATTATTCCTTCCAACAGTGGTTTTCCGGCTCCAGACAGGACAAGCGATTGGGAGCATATCCTGAGCATTTTGCTTACTGATGTCGCTGACACTCAGGGTGCTATGAGGAAGTTGCCCTGCTTCGATCTAGCGTGTACATTCCGGCCTACTTTTGGGGCCTGTGGTGCCAGTTTCGTTTCAAAGCCCTGGCTGTGCCCTCTGGGTCTGCTTTGTTCCGCTGGCGCCACCGTGGCCATTGGAGGTGTGGCGCAGCACCTGCTGTCCTGGGCCTCCCTGTGTCACCAGGGAGATATGGCAGGAGGACCCCAGGCAGCACCGACTCTGCCCACACAGGAGCCTGCCCATCAGCAGTGCAGGAGCTGGTGGGTCCATGCGGCTCTGACGCTGGTGCCACAGCATAGTGTGGGGTGGGGGTGTGGCTGCCCCACTATAGGCCTCCGCCGGGCCTCCCCTTTCCCAGTCCTGTGCCCAGAAAGTGGTGGTGCTCCCTGCAACCTTCCCACCTGTGCTGTGACTTTGTTAAACGAACATTTGTTAGGCAGAACGTGAGGGAAAGTGGAATAGAGGAGCTTATGACTCGCAGGTCCTGGGGGCACACCGCACAGCACGTGGGGAGGTCACGGTAGGGCGCAGGTGGAGAAAGTGACTGCGGATGGAGTGCTTTGAGGGTTCTGGACTAAGGCCGATCGGTCCATTCGAGCCAAAAGAAACTTTGGTCAGCTTTGTGGGGGCTCCCCAAATGTCAGGGGAACGTGCTTGGCACAAAGGTTGTGGGGGGGGTCACACCAGCAACTTTCACTTACTGTGATTCTGCAGGAATTCTAGGACACATGCATGTGGGAGGGGCTGATGCTGGTCCAGAGCCCCTGCAGGCTGCCTGGCTACACTCCACGAGCATGGAGGCAGCACCATTATGGACTAGTTTAGTCAAACTCGACAGTCTGCAGGCAGTTCTGGGTTGGGCTGCAGGCCTCTCTGGCACCTATTCTGAGAACCTGTAAGACAGAACAGGAAACCAAGGGAACCCACTGCGCGGCCACCACCCGGGGCCGAGGACCCTGGCCCGTCCTTCCGCATCACTGTTGAATCACTGGTAAGGTGCTCTGCAGGAAGGAACAAGGGACAGTGAGTCTGCCCCACCTTCTCTGGAGCAGGAGGCCGCCACGCCCTAAGTCAAATGCTTGGTGTTTCCTATCAGGCAAATCCCATCACCTTCCAACTGGCCTCAAGTGCTTCCCTCCCCCTTTTCCCCACAGCAGCCAAAGCTCAGAAAGGTGCAAGCCTGACTGTGCCGACTCTCCCACCCCTGAGAACCTTCCTCATGTCCCCATCAATCTAAGACAAAGGCCCTGGTGGCCTTTCCTGCTCTCCCTGGGCCCCTGGGCTGCAGCCACAAGGAGCTTCCCTACAGCCTCAGGTCCCTCCCTGTTGGGCTCCCTTGGCAGACTGAGTGCCTCCCACTACAGTCTGGAGGCCAGAAGTCGGGACTGGTTCCTCCCGAGGCTGCAGGGCCGCTCCGTTCCAGGACGCTGTCCCTAAGCTGCTGGGGCCGCTCCATCCTGGGCTGCTGTCCCTGGCCTGCACACGTGTTGTTCTCCGTGTGTGCTGTGTCCACCTCCAAAGTCAGCCCTTCATTGGCTCAGTCGTATCGGACCCAGGCCCCCATGACCTATTTCTACCCTGATGACCCGTGTAAGGGCCCTATCGCTAAATCAGGTCACGTTCTGAAGTCCTGGATACTAGGACTCCGATATACGAATCGGGGTACACAGTGCAATCCACAGGACCCCCACCCCGGGGCCTCTGCCTCTGCTATCCCCTCCCGCTACGACTCTCCCGCCAGCGCCTTCGCGGAGTCCCTCTCACTGACCCTGCCCAGTCACCGGTGCTGTCACTTCACAGGCAGGCCTTACCGGTCCACATCAACTCCCTTCGTCATTCATTCCCCCAGACCAGTTTCGCCTCCCGTCGCTACGCTGAGAACTGTGGGCGCAGGGACCCGCGAGCGGTGTTTCCGGCTTGCCCCGCCGTGTCTTGTCCGCACCCGTAGCTGCCAATAAAGTTGCATTCTCAGCCAACCGGAAGGGGAACCGTAATCCGCGCCGCCGCCGTCGTGAAAGCGCCGGTCTCCCCTAGCGACGGGCAACGCGGGCAAGATGGCAGCACTGGTGGCGGCGGAGGCCGCGGCGCCTCCGGGCCCGACCGAGGCCTCCGAGACGGCCGAGGCGGCGGAGCTGAGCCGCGCCCTGAGCCGCCTGCTGCCCGGGCTGGAGGCCGACAGCAAGCTAAGCCGGCGGCGCGCGCTCGAGGCGCTGCAGCGCGCAATCGAGGCGGCGTGGCCCAAGGAGCCCGCCGCCGACCCCGCCGCTGCGGCCGCAGCTTTCCAGGGCCCGTGGGCGCGCCTGCTGCTGCCGCGCCTGCTGCGCTGCCTTGCCGACCCGGCCGAGGGCTGCCGCGCGCTGGCGGCGCACCTCCTGGGCCTGGGCCTGCGGCGCGCCGCGCGGCCCCGCGACGCCCTGCCGCGCCTGCTGCCGGCGCTCGCCGCGCGCCTGGCCGGCCCCGAGTCTGAGCGCGGGCGGCCGCCCGAGGCCTGCGAGGAGCTGCGCCTGGCGCTCGTGCAACTGCTCAGCCTGGCGGTGCACCTGGGCGGCGCCGCGCTCGCGCCCCACCTGGACGACGCCGTGCGCGTGCTGCGCTGCACGCTGCTCGACCCCTTTGCCGCCGTGCGCCGCGAGAGCAGCGAGTGCGCCGCCAGCCTGGCGCGCGCCACGCCAGGTGCTCGTCTCGCGCGGGGGTCGGGATGGGGGCGCGGGGAGGCGAGGTCGCTGCCTTCGCTCATCGCCGTCGGGTGGTTCTCAAGATGCAGAGTCGTGGAGGCCGCCGCTGAAATTGCCCCCTGGGTCTGCGATGCGGCGCCTTACCGGCGTGCCTAACCTGGCGCTGGCGGGAGCGCGTCCGAGAATCACCGCTGCGGTCTTCCCCTTCCCCACTTCCAGTCTATCTTTCTTCCCTCTTTGGATTGGAGCGCTGGCCTCCTAAAATGAGAGAGGCCGCTTCTGTCCCGTTTTCCTTGAATTCATTCTGTATTATTTTAAGAACTTTGATCAGGACATTTCCTTTTCCTAAGTAGTCGTTTCTGCAGGATCTTGCCCCACTTAACCTCTGCTTACAGTCTCAGACTGGGATGTGGAATGGTAGGAGGCCTCTACTTAGTCCTGTTGGGAAGGTTTCCTGTAGGAGGGAGCGTTTAGGTTGAAGATCTGTGGTCTGGAGGAAACCAGCTTTGAGGAATAAACAACTTGGTAGATCTAAGGAGGATAAAGAAGGTCACGGTGGCTGGAGGGAAAAAGGCTATGGGGACTACTGCAGCTTTGAATTTTACTATTAAATGCAGTAGGGAGCGAGTGGAGGGTGTGGAGAAGGGGCATGAGTGGCTTAGGTTCTGATTTTTATATTTTAAAAATTTTTTTAATGTTTTAAAATTTTTTTAATGTTCTTTATTTATTTCTGAGAAAGAGAAAGAGAGACAGCGTGAGCAGGAGAGGGTCAGAGAGAGAGGGAGACACAGAATCTGAAGCAGGCTCCAGACTCTGAGCTGGCTGTCAGCACAGAGCCTGATGCAGGGCTCGAACCCACAAACTGTGAGATCATGACCTGAGCCGAAGTCCGACGCTTAACCGACTGAATCACCCAGGCGCCCCAGGTTCTGATTTTTAAAAGATCACTCTGGTGCTCAGAGAATTGATCACCAAGGTGGCAAGAGGGAATGAGGAGGTCCGTTGGGCCAATGGTTAATCCATACTTAGATGAGAGTTTGCTTGGACTTGAGGGGGTGGGCAGTCTGCTAACAGACATGGAAGAAAATGGATGGATGGGTGTGGGACATGGAGCTGATAGGGTTTCCTGTTGAATGCGGTGAGGGATGAGGGAGAAGGAGGTTTGAATGGACAGGAGACCAAGGAAGAATGAATGAGCCTTTCTTTTAGCCTTTCCCATTAGGGACCGTCAAGATTTCCATTGTGAGTCACAAGTTTGGGTTCAAATAGTGCAGAATTCTAGGAGAGCTGGGTTTGAGGCTTGGGCTGGAAACAGCCATTGGGAATGACAAGCTTCTAACACATTTCTCATCGGCCCCCAATCACATCACTGCATGGTCTGCCATCAGCCAAGGCAACTGCTTCTGCCTCGCAGCCTGGGCACATTCCCACACTGGATTGTACTTTCCAGCAGCATGGCACCATGGCTGCCTGCATCCTAGGTGCCCACTGATTTCCAAGTGAAGGACTGTTCCTTGTGCTTGAAGCCCATCCTGTAGAGGAGGGGGGGTGTGGACGTCCCTTGTCCACACCCCCCCTCCTCTACCCACTCCCCCTGGAGGAGCATCTCCTCTACCCACATCACACTGGGCAGTGCTCCATCAATATCCCTCCTTGACTCAAGGCCCTCGAGGTGAAAGAACTCGACCGTCTTGTGGTTGAGTCTCCAGCAGCAGCAGAACTGAAGTCAGAACTCCAAAACCGGGGGCCAGCCTGGCTATTGGAGACATTCTGGGTCTGACTTTGTGTGAGGCCCTTACAAGTAGGATGTGGAGTGGCTTTACCCCAGGTGGTGTTGGCCCTGCCCCCTGCATAGCACCAGCCATCTGGCTTCGAGGCACAGCCAGTGTGGGGATGTGGACACTGTTCACCAGGCTCTGTTTGTCTCTGGTCGGCATCCCTTTCGGGCACCTAGTGCCACTGCCGTCAGCTTCAGACCCTCCTTACAGCTCCTGCCTTCAGTCGAGAGGGAGTCAAGCCCCCAGCCTGTTCCTTTCGTGCTGTCTGGTTGCACCTGTCCTGTGCCTGTCTTGCCCATGTCCTGTGCCAGGGGTACAAACCTGTGCTCGGCAGGCCTGCCGCAGGGACCTGGGAGGGGAGAGGATGCTCCGGGGCGCAGGGGCCTGTCCTCCCGTGATCCCGTGGGGGTAACCGGTTTCCTCCCCCATCTCACAGATCATTTCCACATGCAGTCGGAGTCCTTGATCGGCCCCCTGATGCAGAGCGCCTCCCACCAGCACTGGAAGGTGCGGGTGGCTGTCATTGAGGCCACTGGCGTTGTGATCCAATTTGGCAGCGCCAAGTCGGTGGACGACGTCCTCCCTCACTTGGCTCAGAGGCTCTTCGACGACGTCCCCCAGGTAACGAGTCCCCCTGGGTGGTCCCCCCCTCTCCGCCGGAACCACGCTATTTGTAACTTTCTCCTTTTTCTTCCGTAAAACTCTTAGTACCGTTGCTCTAGACATCTTGACATCATTTGCTGTCACCGGATGACATCTTTGAGAAAATGTTGTCTGTCACCCTCATTCATGCCTCTGAGAAAATGGGGAGAGTTGAATTGTGTTAACATGTTAGTTGTTCTCCCTTTGGGGGAGCGTGGAAGAGGAGGACTTCCTCCTCAGAAAACAGTCGAACTGTGCGGACCTCCCGGTTTCAGAAGCATCTCTGATACGTGCATCCATCAAGGCAGTCTTACTGGACAAGCCCCAGTGGTTGGTGAACCAGACCTGTAAGCAGGAGGGTGGGTCACAGCCTGTGTGTTGAGGTCATCATTCTGTTGGGCCTTGGGACCCACTGATTGACAGACAGACGGAGCCCAGCATGCTGGCTATTTCATTGGCAAAAGTCAGCTTGGAGGCTGTCACGGGTGTGAGGCCACGGTTTGCGTATAGAATCTCACAACCCCCCAACAACACGAGCAGAGTGAAGGCCGAGGCGGGCAGTCCCCTCGCAGAGGGAGAACACGGCCAAGGGGTCCTCCTGGGGAGGGAGGGGCAACGGTTGCTGGCAGAAGTCCCCGGAGTGGTCCGAAAGTGCCCCACCTGTGGCTGTCAGGACATGAGGTGGCTCGAGGCAGCCGAGGACTGAGAAGGTGGTGCCTCTGTGGCCTCTGCTGTCCTCATAGGGTGTAGGGGGACCTCTGCTGTCCTGATGGGGGTGGTGGGGAGGCCTCTGCTGTCCTGGTGGGGGATGGGGGGCCCCCTGCTGTCTTGAGGGGGCCGGGGCATTAGCTGCTGGCCTCAAGCGCTCATGTGCCAGCCACTCTCCTGAAGTCCACACAGCGTTGCCCTTAACCCTTTGCACCAGCTGCTCACACTCCCCCTGCGGTTTGGAATTGGTGTCCCATGGGCGAGGTGGCCCAGCCGGAGCTGGCCTCTGGGCCCAGGTGCGCTGACCCAGACACTGTTGTCTGGCACACCAGCCAGCCGCCCAGCCACAGGCACACTTCAGTTTCCTTCCAAATTGCTTTGTTTTGTCCTATTTTTTAAAGCAGCTTTATTGAGCTACAACTCACATACCATGTAATTCACTCATTTAAGTGTTCAGTGTTTTTGATACATTATTTTTGTTTTAATTTTTTTAACTTTTTTTAATTTTTTGAAAGAGAGAGAGACAAAGGGTAGGCGGGGGAGGGGCAGAGAGAGAGGAAGACACAGAATCTGAAGCAGCTCTAGGCTCTGAGCTGTCAGCACAGAGCCTGATGCAGGGCTCGAACCCACAAAACTGACCTGACCTGAGCCGAAGTCAGATGCTTAACCAACTGGAGTCACCCAGGTGCCCCTGATACGTTATTTTTAAAGTATTTGGTAAAATACGTAATGTAAACTTTGCCATTTCTACCACTTCCACTCCCTCCACGTGCTCCCAGCACTTTTCTGGTGTGTGTGTGTCGGTAGCCAACCTACTGTATGTCGGGCAGCGTCTGGGTGTGGTTGTGACTCAGGTTTCCCTGATGGTGAGTGACATTGAGCGTATTTCACGTGCTTATTGCTGGATTGTCTACCTGCAGTGCGTGGATGTTGAACTCAGGGCCAGTTCAACACGTGCTCACGGGGAGGGTCCAGATTCCTGTTCCTGTTCCAGTTGTGTAGAAGGCTGAGAGCTTCTTACACTCCCTGTGGATGTCCTGAGGAGGCAGAGGGTCTGGGGGGAGCAGCCCTGGCTCCTCGTGGGGATTGGACGTGCCTCTTGGCAGGATGAGGGCGTCCCTCAGGGCTCTAGGGCCAGGACAGAAGCCCCCACTCAGTTGCACACCTGTGACGTCCCACACCGGTGTCCCCTCGTGGCACATACCACACCAGGGTGACCACAGAGTTCCTCACACTGAGCTGATAGGGAGGTCATGGGCTCCCCTCTATACATCTGCATGGGGTCTTGGCCCTCATGGTCCTGGGCTCTGGGTGTTCTCTGCAGCTTCAGGTGGTGGGCCTCCTGCAGAGTGTGGTCCCGGGACGGTGCCAGGATCTCACCCTGCTCTGTGTGGAGGGTCAGATCCTCGCTGCTCTGTAACTTGTAGAAATGCCCCACAGTTGGGGCGCCTGGGTGGCTTAGTCGGTTAAGCGTCCGACTTTCGCTTAGGTCATGATCTTGCGGTTAGTGGGTTCGAGCCCCGCGTCAGGCTCTGTGCTGACTGCCAGCTCAGAGCCTGGAGCCTGTTTCAGAGTCTGTATCTCCCTCTCTTTCTGACCCTCCCCTGCTCACGCTGTCTCTCTCTCTCTCTCTCTCTCTCCTAGAAATAAATAAAAATATTTTTATTTTTTTTTATTTTTTTATTTTTAAATATTTTTATTTATTTCTAGGAGAGAGAGAGAGAGAGAGAGAGACAGCGTGAGCAGGGGAGGGTCAGAAAGAGAGGGAGATACAGACTCTGAAACAGGCTCCAGGCTCTGAGCTGGCAGTCAGCACAGAGCCTGACGCGGGGCTCGAACCCACTAACCGCAAGATCATGACCTAAGCGAAAGTCGGACGCTTAACCGACTAAGCCACCCAGGCGCCCCAATAAAAATATTTAAAAAGAAAAAAAAAAGAAATGCCCCACAGCTGCCGTCCTGCTGCCTGTGTTCTAGGTCACTGCACTGCGCGGCAAGTGGCTTCCTGGGAGGAACTTACTGGAAGCGCTTTGCCTGAATTGACCCATCTGGTCTGTGTGGGGGTCCTGTGCCGAGGAGACCATGAGGACCCCCGTCTCCCAGGTGGGGGAGCGGGGCACAGAGAGGCACGGGGCTCTCCCTGGGGGCATGGGGACCAGAACATGGGCCATAGCTCCCGGAATTCTCCCTCTGGAGGTTTGTCACCTCAGGTCTCCAGGATGTGTCTGAGGACGTGGAAAGGGGGTGTGGCAGGGCTAAGGTGGCTTCCTCAGAGTCCAGAAAGGCCCAGCCCCCCACCCCTGCACGCACCATCTGAGAGGCGAGGTGCCGGCCGCAGTCATCTGTCTACTGGGCGGTCACAGTCACCTGCGACCTCGGTTGCCCCCGGGGTCACCCTTATCTTCAGGAGCCCCTGCGAGTTACAGGTGATGACGTTTCAGCCGGAAGCTAGGCTGTGTGTGCTCACCCGACCCTGGTGCTAAAGCACCCAGGATGTGTGACCGGCGTGGGTGTCCGCCAGCACCCTGCGGGGCGTAGAGATGAGCAGGTCCTGCCGCGGCCCTCGCGGAGACCTCACTGGTGCCAAGGAGTGATGGGTGTGGGGACAGAGGGGTGCGCGGGGAGGGGAGGGTGCGCCGCCACCAGTCTAAGGGATTGGGTGTTAGGAACTACAGGCCCCTGAGGGTGGAGTCCTGCCTCAGGGCCCTTGAACAGGTGTCAGAGTCTCGGGCTCAGCTCAGTGAGAGCATCCTAACAGGGGCCTGCTGCTCTGTTAGCAGGTCATTTCACGGCAGGGGTGAGATCGGGGCTTGTGCGCAGGGGAGACGGGGTATACACAGTGCTGGCTGTGGTGACCTTCCTGCCTCCTGCCCCCTGATGTCAAACTAAAGGAAAACTAACAACAGATACAGTAGCTGTTCAGGTCCAACGCATACTTAGTAAATACTATGCTGAGTCTTTTCATGATTAAGAAATATAAATGTTACAGATTCAGTTGAAGACCTTTCTGCTAATTTTTCTTCAGCTGAATTTGAATGCTGTATATTTGAAACAAAATTTGGTGTGTTATTAAAACACATTTTTTTGTTTGTTTCTGAGAGACAGAAACAGACAGCATGAGCAGGGGAGGGGCAGAGAGAGCGGGAGACACAGAATCTGAAGCAGGCTTCAGGCTCTGAACTGTCAGCACAGAGCCCGACATGAACTGTGAGATCATGACCTGAGTCGAAGTCGGACATTGAACCGACTGAGCCACCAAGGTGCCCCTGTTAAAACACTTTTGAGGGGCCCCTGGGTGGCTCAGTCAGTTAAGCATCCGACTCTTGATCTCAGCTCAGGTCTTGGCCTCAGGGTTTTGAGTTTGAGCCCTGTGTTGGGCTCTATGCTGGGTGTGGAGCCTACTTTAAAAATTTTCTTTAAATAAGATAATGAAACATTATTGGGTTGATACTATTAGAAACATTTTTTTTTTTTGAGAGAGAGAGATAGAGACAGCATGAGCAGGGGAGGGTCAGAGAGAGAGGGAGACAGAATCTGAAGCAGGCTCCAGGCTCTGAGCTGTCAGCACAGGGCCTGACGTGGGGCTTGAACCCAAGAACCGTGAGATCATGACCTGAGCTGAAGTCGGACGCTTAACCGACTGGGCCATCTAGGCGCCCCAGAAACATTTTTTATTGTAAAGACGGGGCTTAACTTAAAACGATGTAAGATGCTTAAGATTCAAGGCATTTGGTGCCTGTGTGCCGTGCTGTGCCACGGAGCTACTTTGCGTGAGATGGTTATTTTCACTCGGGCACTGGGCGGAAGGGCCCCAGCCCCCAGAGGCCGAGTGCGAGGTGCTCGCACCCCCGGGAAAGGCGGCCTCCTCCTGCAGGCTTTGCCCAAGCTGCTGAGTCCAGTGTGGTGAGGAGTGCGGGTCTGCCGGCCCGTGGGCCTTACCAGCACCTGCTGAGAGCAGGGGCAGAAATAAACAGGCTCCTTATGAGAACCAGGCGTTTCCCTCAGTCCCTGAGATGTTCCAGGACATTAAAGGAGAGCAGGACATTCGCTTTCATGTTCACGATACACGACTCTCCCCCTTGGCTGGCGGCGCTGGTCCGACAGGTCGCGGCCCAGGCGGTTCCCTGGCCCAGCACCCCGGGTAGGCAGCCCTGACTCGGAGAGGAGGACTCTGTTCATTCTGCTTTGTTTTCTTTAGTTGAAAGATTTCCTGCTTAGTCAACTGTCAGTGCTGTTTTCCTGCTGAGACAAAGGGGTCATTTGACTGGTGATGACGGGGTGGGCCAGTTTCTGGCGACAGCAGCTTGAGGCGCGGGGTGGGGCAGGGGAGGGGGGGAGGTCAGCCCTCGGGCTCCCCCAGCTCACGAGGGGAGACGCCTGAAGTCTCCACCCAGCAATGTGCCTGCATCTTGGGGATGCCGCAGTGACTGTCGGGAGGGCGCAGCTGGATGGGCTCCCGAGATCCCCACCGCTCCCTGACCCCCAGTGGCTGGGATCACCTTTGCTGCGGGGGCCAGCCCTCTGGAGTCCCGTTGTCCGGAGTGCCTGCCGTCCCTGCAGAGGCCCCGCTTGCTCCCTGTGCTCGGGCACCGGGCTGGGGGGAAGGTGGGCCCTCGTCAGACAGACTCTGGGGCACCACCAGCCTGTGGTGGTGGCTGAGCTTTGAGGGTCCTGCCTGCTGCGTGTACTGTTGCAGTCAGAGGGACCCTCATTCAGCCCTGGTTCCTCAGCAGTTCCTCAGGGTCTCACGGAAAGATGGCTTTGTGCTCCTTCTGTCCTATGCGGCACCAGCGGCACAAGGCTGCTGTGGGTGTCCGTTTCTAGGTACTCAGACCTCTAGTCAGGCACATTTTCAAGTTCTTGGGAGAATATCTCAGATTTTCCGGGGTCCTTCTCTGCAGTTTTGATTGTTAATAATTTTACCCTGTTGCAACTTTTTATTTTAAAATATTTGTTTTTTTTATGTTTTATTTATTTCTGAGCAAGAGAAAGAGCATGAGCAGGGGACGGTCAGAGAGAGAGGAAGACACAGAATCTGAAACAGGCTCCAGGCTCTGAGCTAGCTGTCAGCACAGAGCCTGACACAGGGCTCGAACCCACAAACCGTGAGATTGTGACCTGAGCCGAAGTCGGACGCTTAACCGACTGAGCCACCCAGGCGCCCCCATATTTTAAAATAGTTTAATACGAGAAATTCAAACAGTAACACAGGACCCAGGCCTCACCCCCACCCCCGCCCCCCGCAGGCTTGTTTGCCTCCCCCTTCCTCCATCTGCCCTGTTCGTACCCACACAGCATGAAGGCGAGTGAGCCTGGTGCCTCCAGTGTGTCCAGCACCATGCCAGGTGCTTTCCTTCCTGGCCAAAAGCCAGCGTCCGGTTGTCCCATTCTGCAGAAAGGGCACGGGACACCCCAGTCCACATGCCTAAACGTGAGCTGCCCACACCTGTCCCCTGACCTGTGAGCGGCCGGGGCATTAGTGCTACAGGCACACCCCCAGGAGACGCTTCCCCTGAAGTCCCTGCCAGTGCAGCCCCACTCAGCAACAGACACACACGTGGTCGGCCGCCGGCCCGGGGTGGGACAGCCCTCAATGTGGTGCTGCTGCGCTCTCGGGCTCCCCAGGATGGGGCAGAGGCTGGGCTTCAGCCCGTGCTGCTCCCCCCTCATGATGACAGGCTGTTGAGTTCCCGCCCTGGCTCTGCTCTCAGGGAGCTGGGCCTCAGGCACCTGTATCTTCCCTGTGGTGGGAAAAGGAGGCAGAGGCCTGCAGGTCACCTTCACAGACGGCCAGAACTGAGGTCCTCTGCTGGCTTCCTCAGGAGTCCCTGGGGCTCCGGGACCCGGGGCCTTGGTGGCGTGGCCTCTGCAGGCTGAAGTTCCTGGTGGTTCGCCCACAGCCCTTTAAACGCCTGCAATAAGACGGTGCCTGGCCCAGGAGGCTCCCACACCAAAGGCCTTGCAGGCGCATCGCCCCAAGGCAGCCCTGTGGGTCCCCCTGCGGCCTGCAGAGGACCAGGCCATAGCCCTGGGGGCAGCCCTGGCATTTCCTCTGCAAGCCCGCGGTGTGGACTGCAGAGCTGCTCTGGGACCCCAGGCTGGCATCGGGCCAGGAGGGCCCAGCTCAGGCTCGCTGTGGGGTCCGTGGGGGGGGTTCCCTCTGTGTGTCCTGTGCCCGGCTGAAGGCCCACTTCCTTGGCGCACAGGTGCGGCAGGCGGTGACCCGCGTGGTGGGGGGCTGGCTGCTGGAGCTGCGGGACCGCTACTCCTTCCTGCACAAGCTCATCCCACTGCTGCTTAGCAGCCTGGAGGACGAAATGCCTGAGATCGCGTAAGTGCGGCACCCACGCTGCTGGCCCTGCGGCCCGGTGCAGGTTCCCTGTTTCCCGGACGTCCCAGCCCCGCCGAGGTTGTCGCTTGCAGCAACCGTGGTGTCTCCACCGCGGAGCCCTCCCGGAGCCACCTGTCCCCTGTGTCCTGTCTGCCGGGGGTTGTGAGCCCCACAGGACGTGTCTGCGGCTGTTCAGTCGTCAGATTGTCCCCGTACACCCGAGACGGGTTCCCAGGTGTGCCCAGAGCACTGTGCCGGAGCCATCAGAGCCAAACGGAATTTCCGGCACTCCGGGGCAGACGTGGCTCCACCGCCTGACCGAGTGTTGTGCTGCAGGCTTGTGGCCACCAGCCTCTGGGAGAAGGCGGGCCTGCAGTGGCAGAGGGAGAACGAGGACGACCTCAAAGACAAGCTTGACTTCGCCTCCCCCCCTCCAGCCCACCACCCCTCGCCAGGTGAGTGCAGCCCGCCTCGGTGGGCGAGGAGTTCTGGGGGGAGGGGCACCCACACTGCGTGGTGCAGACCCGGCCCAGGACGCCTCCCTGGGGCTGTCCCCTCTGAGCCTGCTCTGCTGTGGCTGTGTGAAGTCATGGGCGCAGCTGCAGGCAGGGCAGGAATCTGGCAGCCGCACCCAGAATGCAGTTGCAGAGGAGCCGGGGCGCGGGGCGCACTCAGAGTGTCACTCTCAGCGGGTGTTCACCGGGAGCCCCGCGAGCCGTCCCTCCTCTCCGCCCAGCGGACTCTCCAGGGGATGCAGCTTCTCCCGCCGGGCGTCTCCTTCACACAAAACACTGGCGAAGGCCACGCTGGGAAAGATGCCACGGTCGGATGACAGTGGCCACATGGAGCCTGTGGCCTGGCCGCCTCTGCCACCTGGTGTGAAGGCAGCGTGGGCATGAGCACTTGCACGTTGCGCCTGACGTGACAGGAGGCTCCCCCACCCCATGCAGCCCAGTGACCCCTCCCGTTGTGTGTAGCCTCGCCTCCAGCACCGCACAGCCACCACACGCGGAAACCACGTGGGTTTCAGCAAAGGTACAAACTTCAGCTGCTAGTGGGTTTTTCTGACTTAGTAAAGTTTGACAGCGCAGCATCTTTTTAAAAATGTAGACCTTCGACACAAAGGTTGCTGTGATTTTATTTTTAAATGTGCCCTCATCACCTGGGAAGGAAGCAGAGCTCCGAAGGGGGCTCCTCCCCCACCAATGTTTGGAAGCAGCATCTCCCCAAGTGGCCCTGTGGACCCGGCAAACCACAGGGCCCTCCCTGCTGGCTTCTCTCCAGGGCTGGGAACCAGTGAGTGGCCTTGGATGCAAAGTCTGGATCGCCTCCCTCCCCATCCTGGGCAAAACCTGAGGTTCTCGGTCTAGAGCTCGGTCACATGGGTCTCTGACTACATGAGGTTGGTGGGTCACCCCCAGGTACCCGTGCACACGAGGGGCTGCAGGGCTTCTGGGTTTGGGTGATTTTGAATAAGGCCGATGTAAGCACCTGCATCTCAGGGTCTCTGCGTGAACTATGCTCTCACTCTCTCGGTTAAGCCTCCGGAATGGGCACTGCCATTCTCTCTCTGACTCTTTCTGTGTCTATGCCTGTCTTCTCTGTGTCTCTTTGTGTATCTCTATCTCTCAGCCTCTCTGTCTCTCTCTGTGTCTCTGTCCCTGTTTCTGTCTCTTAGCTGCACATATGCGTCCCACCTGCAGGGGGCAGGGTCCATGTCCGCACACGCGGTGGCGTTGGGCCTGCTGTTCTGCCGTCCTCAGAGGCGCGTCGTGGCTCTAACCTGCTGTGTGCTGGTCCACGTGTCTTCTGGGTCAAGTGTCCAGGTCTGTTTCCAGGGTGGTGGGGTCGTTTGTTGTCCTCTCCTGGAGTCATGAGGGTCCCTCACATGTGGGTGCAGCCCTGTGTCGAGTCTGTTGGAGTCCCGGCCTGCCTGCAGCCAGTGGCCCTGGCGGGGCTCTGCCTGCACTCAGACTTGCGGAAGGAAACCCTCCTGCTCACGGGCTCTCGCCGCCCCTAACACCGCGCTTCTGTGTGCAGACAGACAGACGGATGGATTTAATGAGGAGTACGGCTCACTGCTGAAGGGCCCATGTCCTGTCACCACACGGGTTGCCATTAGCTTGACAAACACGTGTCCTGTTGCAACACAGAAACAAAGTACCGTGTTCAGAACCTGGCTACGTGTGGGGAAGATCGGAAGGGCGTCATTTACTGTCGCTGAGTCGGTCACTCACTGAACCAGGCGCTCTCCTTGGGCAGAAGTGCAAGTTCGTGCCTGCCGAGGATGTGCCCACCCGCCGCACCCTCAGCCTACCAGCAGAGGGACTGAGCAGTGGCAGAGGGTTCCAGAGTCCCTCCTGCCGCAGTGTCCCCTGTGAACACTTTGTCCTTGGTGCTGCCTGCATGAAGAGGAAGTCATCTCCTTGTGACAGTGACAGGCTTGCAAGACCTTTTGGCGCAGGAGAGAACAGAGTTGGGTTTTCCCCTGATTTACACCTGGAGTTCCACTTGAATCGATGCCATTGTAACGTGGGCGCTTCCGGGTGGTGCCTTTTGGGCTTTTCATGTTCCTTCCAGAGCTCGGATCTGCTCTTCTTGCCTGTTTTGTCCAGGTGTTTGTACAGGTGGCAGTTGTCAGGAAAGTTCCACCGTGCAGAGGAGAGATGGGCGGGGCGGAGGGCGGGTGTGCGCCATGTGCAACCAAGCGATGGTCTGTGGCACACAGCAGAGCCCCTTGGAGCCTTGTGTGCTGGGGAGAGGGGACCCCGTCTGGCCCTACGGGATGTGGGTGGGATCCCAGTGCTCAGAGGGTTGGGAGAACCTGCTTTTCCCCTTATCAAAGGTGAGGTGCTCAGGCCGAGTGGCTGGTCCACAGGCAGTGGGTCAGGACCGGCACCCACCTGAGCCAGGTTCAGGTGTAGGATACGTGCGTGTCCTTGGGTGACCCTCCCGCTGACCCCTGCCCCCTGCCGTTCTTCTGGAGGGTCAGTCTCTGGTCGATTCTGAGATGTCCATGGGAACATCATGTGGAAGCCCGAGTGCCCCACTCACTGCCCATTTGTGGTGCCTTAGAAACTCACAAGCCATTCAGGGCAGGCTTGCTGGCAGACTTAGACACACGCATTAAAAAACCGCTGACCTGTTTTTCTGCCTACAGTTAAATTACACTTTGTGTAATTGTGCAGGAACAAAGCCAATTTAATGTTCCGCCTGCTCCTGTCCAGCTTAGTCAGGCTTCTGTACTGATCTCTCCTTGAGTTAAAACTCCGGCATGGTGGGGGCGCTTTGCCCATTCACACACCACATTCCCCATCCCCCCCAGGATGGGTCTCGTCTGCTGCATCTGCACCAGGAGCATCACCCACAGGCCTGGCAACCCCGGCACCCGCCCAGACCAGTGATAAAGCCCCAGTTCAGCTGGTCGGAAAGTGACCTCGGGATGAATCAAGGGCACCTACTGGGGAAGACACAGCACCCATGCTTTGCGCAAAGATTTGAACTTGGACCCTCAGACCCAAGAGGTCACTGCCCCCAGATCCAGTGCACATGGACTTGTCCCCCAGCTGGCTTTGACCCCCCTTCGCAACCCACCTTTGCAGTGTCCCCTCCTGAATGACACAAGGCTGTTGCCTTACTCCTGACCCATACCTTTGGTTTCTGGCGAGGTGAGGCCATTCTCTGTCGCCATCATTTAATTTTGTTTCAATTATGAAGACAAGTTGGCTTTATGGGTATTTGCATCCTGTCTGCTGGCCGTAGGGCTGAGCAAGCCTCCTGAGGGCGGCTGGCTCTGAGGAGCTGAGCCACACGCCTGCCGGCCTCCGTGAGCTGCCTCTGCGTGCCCAGTGCCTGCGGACTTTTCCAAGGCAAGATTAGGAGATAGCGGCCCAGTCTAGTCTGGACTCCGGACATAAGTTAATCATCACTCAGGCCCCGGGCGCTTCCTCAGATTCAATACAAACAGCAACACTGACCTGGGTTGTTTCCTAAAGCAGCGGTAATTGCAACGTGGGGAAAGAGAGCCCTCACACGTCGCTGCTACAAAGGCAAAATGGTGCAGCCACTTTGGAAGACAGTTTGGGAGCCTCTTAAAGTGTTAAACATGCAGTTACCACGTGACCCAGCTCTTCCCGACATGCACGGCCTCTGTGATGACGTGACCCCACTGTCCCCACCCAGATAAACGCGAGACAAGAATGTACGTGCACACTCAAAGCATCCTTTATAACAGCCCCAAAGTGGGGACACCCAGGGCCCACCAGCTGGTGCCCACATCAGCAGGTCATGTCTGCTGCCACCATGGAGCAGCACTCAGCCACGAAGAGGAATGTTTTGGCGTGTGCCCTGAGACGAATGAATCTCAGAAACATGTTTAGTGAAAAGGCTTGTTCACGTGAGGTCTGTAGAAGAGATGGACGGGAAGCAGGGAAAGCGGACTTGTGGTTCCTTGGGGCAGGTGAGGGGTTGGCGGGCCCATCACGGGGCCCTGGGGGGCTGAGAGTGCCACTGCGAGGGGAGGGGGCCCCTTCACACACACGTTCCAAATGGCTTCTGTGGCAGGTAGATCACACGTCAGTAGAGCTGTTTTTAAGACCGCCACAAGGCTGTGTCAGGGCTAGGAGACTGTTGGTGGGGTCAATGAGCCTGTACTAGGGGCTCCCACCCCACAGGGAAGAAGACGGTGACTCAGTGGCCCCTTGCCCTGCTCGGGGCTCGGTCTTACATGATGGGCATTTGGAGCCATGGCATCTCTGCCAATTCAGGATGGCTGCTGTGGGTGCTCATGGAGGCACAGGATGGGGCCCTGAGGCCCTGGGGCTGGCGAACATGAAGACCTGCCATGACTGGAGCGTGTCCTGGAGCACCAGGAGCAGCGGGCAGAGGCACGCGCTGTGGTTTCTGGACGCAGGGCTAGCAGGTGTACCCCATGTCCCTGGCCGTCTCTCCAGCCACTTAGCTCTTTGTTCTCTCCAATTACTGGGTTGGCTGTTTGGTTTTGCTTTGCCTTTTTAGGAAAGAAGGATTTTTTCTCAGTAGTGCTGAGTTCACACCCTGCCTGTGGCAGATACATCCATGGAGGTAGAGGCGTGCAGGTCGACCAAGGTGGATGCCACGGGCTTCCCGCATTACAGCGCGGCCGCTGAGCCAATGATTCCCGTTTTAGGATTTGTCCAAGTTATCAGAAACGTGCAGACTTTGGTACAAAGGTGTCATCAAAGTGACACCTATGACATTGAGGGTTGGGCCCACAGACCATAATGCTTTGCTCTGTCAGCTGGCCCCAGACCATAATGCTTTGCTCTGTCAGCTGCTTCAAACCACAGCCTGGATTCTCGAGTCTTCTGCTGTGATGGGCTGTCCTCTGCCGTCCGGGACAGCAGCCGCCAGCCGTGTGTGGCCGCTGAGCACTTGAAATGTACTTAGCAGAAGGAGACACTGGGCTGTGATTTATTTAAGCTTGACAAACTTCCAGTGGCCGCCTGCAGTTAGCAGCCTCCTGCCTGGAAAGCACAATTCTAGAGTCTAGACAGGGTTCGGCCAGCTCTTTCCTTGACACACCATTCGGTCAGGATATCAGGCTTTGGAGGCCACGTGTGTCCAGCTGTCCACTTGCGGTGGCGACACCACGACATTCTGAGCAGGCGTGCCCCCCACTGTCCCCTGTGTGACAGCAGGTACGTTGTCAGGAAGAGCAGCGTTTCTTGTTTGTTTCTGGCAGAATTACAGCAGGCTGGCTTTGGCAGCCAACAAAGAGTCGCCTAGAACTGATTTCCTAATATGGCATCAGAACAGAAGAGACAGGGGGCCTGGAGGTGGGCCCCGGGTTGCAAACTGCTGCTTTTACTAAAACCAACCAATGCTGACCTGCCTCCATTTCCTTTCTGTCCCAACAGTTTTGAATTTTCATGACGTTTTTTATTCGAATTCCAGTTAGGGACCATGCAGCATGATGTTACTTTCAGGTGTGTGGGGTAGTGGTTCACATTGGACACACCACCCGGTTCCTGTCATTGGTGCCCTCCTTCGTCCCCATCCCCCAGCCCCGCCCCCCGGTGACCAGCTGTGTGTCCTCTAGCTTGAGAATCTGTTTCTTGGTTCGCCTCCCCCCCACCTCTCTTTCTCTCTCTGCCTTTGCTTATTTATCTTTTGTTTCGTTTCCTTAAATTCCATATGTGAGTGAAATCATATGCTATTTGTCTTTTTCTGACTGACTCACTTTGTTTAGCATTACGCTCCCCAGATCCATCCATGTGGTTGCAAATGGCAAGATCTCATTCTTTTTTATGGCTGAATAATGTTCCATTGTATATACACCACCTCTTCTTTATACATTCATCAGTTGATGGACACTGGGGCTGCTCCTAGAACTTGGCTATTGTTGATAGTACTGCTATAAACATGGGGGTGCGTGTGCCCCTTGGGATTAGTGGTTTTGGTTTTGGTTTTGTTTTGTTTTGTTTTTGGTAAATACCCAATAGTGCAATTACTGGATCGTAGGGTAGTTCTATTTTTCATTTTTGAGGAACCTCCATGCTGTTCTCCAGAGTGGCTGCCCCAGTTTACATTCCCACCAGCAGTGGAAGAGGGTTCCCTTTCTTTACACTCTCGCCAACACTGGCTGTTTCTTCTGTTGTTTATTCTAGCCACTCTGTGAGGCTAAAATACAAGTTTTGACTTGTATTTCCCTGCTGATCTGTGATGATGAGCATTTTTTCATGTGTCTGTTGGCCATCTGGATGTCATCTTTGGAGAAATGTCTTCATTTCTTCTGCCCTTTTTTAAATTGGATTATTTGTTTTTCAGGGGTTGAGTTGTTTAAGATTTTAATATATTTTGGGTATTAACCCTTTATCAAATATGTCATTTGCAAATGCTTCTCCCATTCCATAGGCTGCCTTTTAGTTTGGTGACTGGTTCGTTCACTATTTAGAAGCTTTTTATTTTGATACAGTCCCAGTAGTTTACTTTTCCTTTTATTTCCAAGGACTCAGGAGACATATCTAGAGAACAGTTGCTCTGTACGGCCAGTGTCAGAGACGTTACTGTGTTCTCTTGTAGGATTGTTATGGTTTCAGGTCTCACGTGGGTCTTTAACCCATTTTGAGTGTATTTTTGTGTGTATGTTAGCAAGTGCTCCAGTCTCCCAACACCATTTGTTGAAGAGGCTCTCATTTCACATTGGATATTTTTTTCTGCTTTGTCGAAGATTAATTGGCCATATAATTATGGGTTCATTTCTGGGTTCTGTCTTCTGTTCTGCTGATCCGTGGGTCTGTTTTGGTGCCCGTCCCATTCTGTTTTGATCACTGTAGCTTTGTAATATAGCTTGAGGTCCAGAATTGTGATGCCTCCAGCTTGTTTTGGTTTCTCAAGATGCCGTTGGCTATTTGGGGTCCTTTGTGGTTCCATACACTTTTTAGGATTGTTTGTTCTAGCTCTGCGAAGAATGCTATTGGTATTTTAATAGGATTGCGTTAACTGCAGATTGCCTGGGCTCCTGGCTGGCTCGGTCAGTGGAGTATGCAACTCATGACCTTGGGGGCTGTGAGTTCAGCCCCATGTTGGGTGTAGAGATTACTTAAAAAATAAATCTTAAATCTGTAGATTGCTTTGGGTGGTATGGACATTTCAGCAATATTCTTCCAATCCATGAGCATGGAATGTCTTTGCATTTCTTTGTATCCTCTTCAGTTTCTTTCATTAATGTTTTATAGTCTTCAGATACAAGTCTTTTACCTCCTTGGTTAGGTTTATTCCTAGGTGCCCTTGTATTTTTGATTCAATTGTAAACGGGATTGTTTTCTTAGTTTCTCTTTCTGTTGTTTCATTATTGGCGTATAGGAACACAATACATTTCTGTACATTGATTTTTGCGTCCTGCGACTTTACTGAATTCACAGATAAGTTCCAGCAGTCCTTTTAGTGCAGTCTTTCAGGTTTCCCGTATATAGTGTCATGTCATCTGCAAATAGTGACAACTTTACTTCTCTCTGTGGCTAGGACTTCCTGTACCGTGTTGAACAGCAGTGGGGAGAGTGGACATCCTTGTCTTGTTCCTGACCTTCATGGAAAGCTCTCGGTTTTTCCCCATTGAGTATGATGTTCCCTGGGTTTTTCATAAACGGCCTTTATTATGTTGAGGTTTTTCCTTCATCCCTACTTTGTTGAGGGTTTTTATCACGAGTGGATGTTGTACTTGGTCAAATGTTTTTCTGCATCTGTTGAAATGATCATATGGTTCTTCTCTGTTGTTTTATTAATGGGATGTATCATGTGGATGGATTTGTGAGGACTGAAACACCCTTGCAACCCAAATCCTCCTCAATCGTGGTGAGTGAGTTTTTAATGTACTGTTAGATTTGGTCATCAGCTGGCCTGCAGTTCTCCTTTTTTGTGGTTTTGGGATCAGGGCGATGCTGCCCTCACAGAAGGAATTTGGAAGTTTTCCTTCCTCATCTACTTTTGGAATAGTTTGAGAACAGAGTTTAAAAATTTTAAGATCAAACTTTTAATCCAAGTCTTTGAAACCTTTTTTGTAGAAATTGACAAAGTTACCCTAAAATCACATGGCAATGCAGAGGACCTAGGGCAACCAGAACTTTGACCACGAAGAGCAAAGTTGAAAGGCTAACACTTCCTTTTCCAGACAACCCGCAGAGTGAGGGTGCAGGACCCCAGACAGCGTAGAGCCAACCGACAGGTGTATACCTGACAGGCAGATGGGGGACAGAGGTCACGTGGCCACAAGTAGACACCCACCAATGTGGATGTCTGATCTTTGACAGATTCGGTGACACTGTGGCAGAGAAGGGATGGTCTTTCAACATTGGTGCTGGAAGAACTGGATTTGCACATAATTGGGCATGAATTTGGATCCATTCCTCATATGATACAAAAATTAACCTGAATTGCATTCTGGACCTAAATTAGCACTTGATCCCGTAAACCCCTGTGAGCGTGGGTTGGGTGTTCTCTCGTGTGTGCTTGGGAGCACCATGTGCAGAATCGCGAGCCGATGAACTGGGCTTCACCAGAACGTAGTTGTTGACAGAGCAAAGCAACAGCTACAGATGGAAAATATTTGCAAATTATAGATTGCAAGGCTGTGTTCAGAATGCAGAAACAATGCTCAGAACTCAATAATAAGAAGAGTTCAATTTTTTCGTGGGCAGATTTTTAAAAAAAATTTTTTTAATGTTTTTATTTCTGAGAGAGAGAGAGAGACAGCGTGAGCAGGGAAGGGTCAGAGAGAGAGGAAGATACAAAGTCTGAAACAGGCTCCACTCTCTGAGCTAGCTGTCAGCCAGTACCCAACATGGGGCTCGAACCCACGAACCGTGAGATCATGACCTGAGCCGAAGTCGGACACTTAACCAACTGAGCCACCCAGGCGCCCTTGTGGGCAGATTTTTTTAGAGTGCCTCACCACGGAAGTTCCACATCCTTAGGAAACAACGGGAAACCACAGCAGGCGACACGTACCCTCTAAGTGGCTGTCGTTGAGGACTGGCCCCCCTCACGCTCAGGCAGCGGGGATGCAGACCGACGCAGCCACTTTGGAAAGTGCAAGGCAGCTGCTTCAGTGGAGTGTCGCCTCCCTGGGGAGCGGCCGCCTCGTCCGCACAGCCTTGGCCTTGGTCACAGTCAGCCCAGGAAACAGCCCTAGGTCCCGGCTGGTGACCGACAGGCAGAGGGATGAAGCCACGCGGATGGCTGCAGGGTGAACTGCACAGTCCCCCTTAGAGACAGCCCATGTGCAGTGACAGGAAGCAGAGCGGGGAGCCCTGGGGGGTGCAGGAAGCTTTGGGGCGATGGGTACCCGCATCCTGATCGCAGCCCTGGTCCAGAAGTGTATCCACGTGTCGGAACACATCAGGTTAGGCACATGGTACATTTTGTTGTCACTTACACCTCGGTTGCCGTACAAAACTTTTAAGCTAAATGAGGACACTATGGCTTCATCTCTGTCTTCAGAGTCAGTTTGCGTTTTTAAGATTTCAAGCTGAGGGGCACCTGGGTGGCTCAGTCGGTTAAGCGTCCGACTTTGGCTCAGGTCATGATCTCCTGGTTTGTGGTTCAAGCCCTGCGTTGGGCTCTGTGCTGACAGCTCAGAGCCTGAAGCCTGCTTCAGATTCTGTGTCTGCCTTTCCCCTGCTCACACTGTCTCTTTCTGTCTCACTCTCAAAAATAAATAAAGATTTTTTTTTTAATCTTAAAAAAAAAAAACAAAACCGGCAGGTGCGCCCCAAGTAAGGAACGCGTGAGGAATAACCTTCCATAGGAATCGTGAGATGTTTTTTGAGAGTTTCCCAGCTTTTGATTTTCTCCTCCAGAGAATCGCCCGGGGCTGGGCTGTCGGGAGCTCGTTTTCAGAAACCTCTCCAAGATCCTTCCCGCCATCTGTCACGACATCACCGACTGGGTGGCGGGGACCCGGGTGAAGGCCGCACAGCTGCTGGCGGTGCTGCTGCTCCACGCCGAAGAGCACATCACACAGCACCTGGAGGTCATCCTGCGCACCCTGCAGCGAGGCTGTGCCGACGACGACCGGGCTGTGGTCAGCAGTGTGAGTTGCCTCTTCCCGGTCGTGGTCACGGAGCTGTAGGTCTGGGTTGTAGCATCCGCCTGTGTCAGGTCGTGGGTCTGTGGGTTTGACGCGAGCCACCGCAGAGCTGCCACTACGGCTAAGGTAACGTTCCCATCGTCGGAGATTCCCTGGGGTCTTGGCAGCCGCTCCCCCCATTGCAGCCCCTGCACAACCCATGTCTGTTTTCTGTGCCCGTGGAGGGGGCCGTGTATGAGTCACTCCTTGGGAGGATCGAGCCTGCCGTTCCTCATGGCTGCTCTCCCAGCGCATGCGGGCCACGGCTCTGGACGCATCGATCCCACCAGCAAGCCGGCCACACCGCTGACAGTCTTGTCCCTGAGGGTCTAGCTAGCGTAGCAGGGCCCTCCCTGGCTCTGACGGCCGTCATGCCCACGGACTCTGCAGCCAGGCAGGGTTGTGGCCTAGTGTGTGGAGAGAAGCAGCTGAGCCTCAGTTAGGTTTCCTCCCTCGTCCTGGTTGCCCCACGTTGCTGAGTGACAGCCTGCGTGGACCTCACTCTGGATACACGTGGGCCTGCGACAGAGGCCTGGCACTCTGGCACTTGTCCCTGTATTGTACCACCTGGAGTGTTGCAAGGATGGGGTCCTGCTGGGCCTGTCCTTTATTTTTTTTTTTTAAATGTTTTTATTTATTTCTAGGAGATAGAGAGACAGTGTGAGCAGGGGAAGGCCAGAGAGAGAGGGAGTCACAGACTGAAGCAGGCTCCAGGCTCTGAGCTGGCAGTCAGCACAGAGCCCGACGCGGGGCTCGAACCCACGAACCGCGAGATCATGACCTAAGCGAAAGTCGGACGCTTAACCGACTAAGCCACCCAGGCGCCCCTGGGCCTGTCCTTTAGAGCCTAGCTTTTCTCACTCCCCGATGCCCAAGGGCCTGCCGTCCTGACTGCCAAGGGGCGCCCCTGGCATGGCGGTGCCAGCGTGTGGCTCTTTGTAGCAAGCCTGGGTCACTGGCAGCAGCCCCGGGATGTGATGTGCAGTGGGCCGTGGGCACTTCCTGTGGCACACAGGCTGGTCACAGATCCTCCCACTGCCTCTGCTGAGGGCAGGGGGAGGCCAGCGGGGAGCTGCGGGGCAGCCCCCAACGTCTCTCCTCCTTGTGCAGTGCACCCGATCTGCTGAGCTGGTCGGCGTGTTCGTCAGCCCGGAGGTGTTTCTGAAGCTGACCCTGCCTGCGCTGAAGAAGTCGCCGTCCCCCTCCGGCCTCCTGGTCTTTGCGTCCATCGTCAGAGGGTGCCCTCGGGAGGCCCTCCGGCCGCACCTGAATATAATCGCCACAGAGCTGGCCCGGCCCCACATCTGTCAAGGCTCTGAAAACGTAAGTTGTGGGAAGGGAGGCGGGTGGAGCACATTGTGTGGGTGTTGGCGCCCCCTGCCGGCGCTGTCAACGCACCACCGCAGGGGGTTATAGTAGATCAGGTTCGGGGACGCATCACCGCGGGTGGTTAGTAGTAGATCAGGTTCCGAGACAGATCACCGCAGATGGTTATAGTATGTCAGGTTCCGGGACAGATCACCGCGGATGGTTATAGTAGGTCAGGTTCCGGGACAGATCACCGCGGATGGTTATAGTAGGTCAGGTTCCGGGATAGATCACGCAGATGGTTATAGTAGGTCAGGTTTCCGGATGCCTCACCGCGGGTGGTTAGTAGGTCGGGTTCTCGCCAGGCTTGGGTGGGGCCTGCACCCATCAGACCCTTCAGCCAGACAGTGGCAGCCGAGGTCTGGGCACCCGCACGCCTCCTGCCTCGTTGTTCTGTCCAGTCAGTGGCCATTTACGTTAAAGCTAAACACTGAAGGTGCACGCTGGCCGCCTGCCACCTGCCCCACGGCGGAGCAGGGCGCGTCCCCACCAAGGACTGACTGTGGAGTGGGCGCACAGCAGATTCTGGGGGGCACCTCCCCCACCCCGCCGTGGGCCCGCAGCCTGTCCCCACTAGCTGGGGCGGCACTCACATCCCCGGGCATCTTAATAACGTGCTGGGGACGAGCAAGCTGGGCACTGGAAGCAGTGATCGGTGTCTGCCCTGGGTGTCGCTTGGACATGGTCTGGGCGGTCAGGCCTAACCTTTTTAAACAATTCATAATTGTTTTCTCTTGAGAAAAGTGTAAGAACTTTGGGTTTGTGTGATTGTGGTGGGCTTCGGCCCTGTACCCCCAGTGCTCTGCCAGCCACTCTCCCCTGCAAGCGGCCGGGGGGGGGCGGGGGCACTGCTCGGTGGGTGAGGGGCCGGCTACGACTTCAGGCCCTGCCAGGCCCTGGGGCGCTGTGGCTCATCTGGGCCTCCTGGCCCTTTCTCCGCGCGCATCCTTGGGCAACAAGGTGGTCTGGATTCGGTCACGAATCCACATGCAAGGCTGCAAGGCCATTTCAAACACGCGGAGGTAAGTGGGGCTGAGGTCTCAGCAGGGAGTGTTGGTGAGCCCTTCCACCTGGTTTTGGTGCTTCTCACACGTTGCACCTTTTCCCAAACCTGTTTTTAACGTGATGGTCGAATCCGCGTAGATTCTGCGTATTTATTCAGATGGTTCTGGAAACGATTCTGATTATTCTATGTGGATATGTGAGCCAGAAACTTTTCTTTTCCTTAAAAGCTGAATTTGGAAAACTGTATAGATGCTTTTTATTTATTTATTTATTTATTTATTTATTTATTTATTTATTTATTATTTTGAGCACACGAGTGAGCAAGGGGCAGAGAGGGAGAGAGTGTGAGGCTCAAACTCACGAACCACGAGGTCATGACCTGAGCCAAAGTCAGATGCTCACCTGACCGGCCCCCCCAGGCATCCTTGTACAGGTGTTTAAGTACAGAGTTCATGTCTTACAGCAAAGAAAGTAAAATTCTCGTGCTTTAGCGTGGTCTGTAGAAAAACGTAGTCTCTTACTTCACGTGGTTCAGATTTAGTGTTTGGCTTCTCCTCATCCGGCTTTTTCAAGGAGGCAGTGATGTGTTTAAACACAGACACCTCTCTGAGGACGCGTCGCTCTTGATGTGTGCCAGTCCCGGGCCCAGCAGCCAGCGCAAGGAGAGCCCGAGCACCTCCTTCCCCTTTCCTTACAGACCCAGAGTTTGGCAGAGGCAGATGCGGCCCTGTCCTCCCCGAGGTCGGGAGGGTCCCGTGGTGACCTGGGACATGGCTGTGCCTCCTGCAGACGTCCCTAGGCAGCTGTTCTTCATGAACAAGCTGAGGGGCGGAAACTCCGCGTCAGCCCAGCACAGGTACCCTGAAGGTGTGAGTGGCTGGGACCCACAGCGACAGCCATCCCAGGTGCGTCGGGCCAGCGCTGCACCTGGGGCCCAGCCGAGGGAATTTGATCCTTTCCTTTGAAATGTTTGCTTTGTGACAGGTACCCCAGGGGAGGAAATTGTCTGATGCCATGAGGATAACTCGCCTGCTCCTGTTTAATTAGTGTAAAGCCAGGGTGCACGGGTGTGGGCGTTGTCACTGAAATGTCAGCCTTGGGCGCTTTCTCCCACGAGAGTCAGCAGCCTCAGGTGACACGTTCAGGGGCAGAAGCTAAAGCATGACTCTGGTGTCCTTGTGCAGCCTGTCCCTGGGACGCAGGCAGAGGTGGACCATCTCTGTAGCCAGTGCCAGTGGAAACACGTGCGTTCTCACTGCCCGGCACAGGCAAGCATGCGCCCCGAGACCGCCCATGGAAGCGAGTAGCTCATGCCTCAGAGGGGACTTCTTCCTAATGGAATCGCTCCTGGAGTGTTTGGTGTAGGTCACTTCAGAAATTAGCTGAGTAGGGCCTGGGGCTCAGCCAGTTAAAGCATCCAACTCTTGATTTCAGCTCAGGTTCGTGGGATCGAGCCCCAAGTCAGGCTCTGAGCTGACAACACAGAACCTATTTGGGATTCTCTCTCTCTCTCTCTCTGTCTCTCTCTGACCCTCCCCCACTCATTGTTAACCACAAAAAAGAAATTAGCTGAACTCTTATCCTCAGAAACTCCATTGCGATCAGTCCAGGCCCGAAAGGAATTGGGCCATGGGACATGTGAGGATTTGAGCGAAACCACTGTCTGGCTTTTTGTGGGAGCTGGATCCCCAGCCCTCAAGGTCTCGTCCTGTCTGGCTCGTGAGGCGCCAGGCGTGCGCAGACCACACTCCTCTGTGATCCTGTGTGAGCTCTTTGTTTAAATCTTCGTGGTTTGTGTCACTTGTGCGTGAGCCCCAGAGCTACCTCTGGACCTCCCCGCCCCCGGCAGCAGGACAGTGTGAGCGCATACCTCCCGCATCTGTACGCTGCTTTGTGACCATGACCCCATCCCTTCTGCCCTGTGAGAAACGCGTGAAGCACACGTGTGGAGGGACGCACTGGAAGCGCATGTGGACGTGTTCCTGCCCACAGATTATGAGGTTGAAAGACCAGGAGGGGAGCCTCCCCTTGTCTTCCTGGCTGTCGGGAAGCGTTTCCTGAGCCACAGAAGTTCTCTGCTTTTGTTAAAAACCTAATGCTGCAAGAAGACTTGGACGCACACAGCCACAGAAGAGAAACCTTGGCTGCCATGGGCTCTGACTCCACCTGTGCGTCCACCTCCCTCCACTTTTTCTCTTAGTTTTGGGGGCAGGTGGGGGGGCTGGGTGTTTGCAAGCAAATCCGTTTCCCTCGTGAATTCTGTGGGATGTGTTGCTAATGCATAAAAACTTTAAAGATAACCGAGAGACTATTAAGTCTTCCTTTCTTGTGCTGTGTTCAGCTTTTCCTGGGAAAGTACGCCATAAAAGTTTTCTTGTCAAAGAATGTCCTCCTTAGGGTCCATGTGTTCTAATCTGTGGCCATAGTATACTGTGTCCTGTAGGTGGATCCTGGTGCAGGGGGAGGCAGGAGCTGGAGGGGGCAGAGGAGCAGGAGGGGAGGGAGCTGGGGCTGTGAGTACAGAAGGGTGGTGGGGAGGGAACAGGGGGACCCTGGGGAGCGCGGTGGGGGGCAGGGGCACACAGGCTGGGGAGAGCTGGCTCACGGTGCTTCCCACTGTTTCCACAGCGCCTATACGGGGAACATCTGCTGCTGTGCGTCCAGACGCTGGTGTCCGTGTGCCCGGGGGACTGCCGAGGGTGCAGCTTGCAGCTCATGGAGGTGCTGGTGACCATAGAGGCTCTGTCAGGTGCCACAGGCCTCGGCGACAAGGTGAGGTTGTATGGGGGACAGGGCTCATGCCAAGGAGGATGCTCATCCCCAGGCAGGTGGAAGCACCCTCCAGAATCCTCCTGCTGTGCACTCGGGAGCCTCGGGCTTGCCCGCTCAGCTGAGCAGGAAAGGTGGAAGGCGTGTGGGACATTTGGGATGAGTCACTCGTGAGACAGCCTTGGGGGCGCACGAGGTATCACATCCCCTCCAGCTGCCCGTTTATCGTCGTGTCTCAGGAGACAGCTGCAGACAAACAGACAGGACATGTTTAACCCCTCCTCCCATCTGTGGTTAAATGCACAGGTGACTGCTCGCCTAGAGAGAAAATAGCGTCGTATTTCCTATTTAATTACAGGGCAGCTTTACAGAATTTCTTCTGTTCACTCAGTTCTGGGGTCAGGTTCTAAACGCTCCTGTGTCCAGGTTCCCTAGGACTCCAGGGGCCATCAGGAGGGGGTGTTTGCCTCCTGTGGCTGTGGGCAGATCTCGGGGGGCTGATCTGTGTGGTGGAGAGGCACCGGGGAGCCCCTCGGGGCCCCATGCCCCGGATCTGCGGGCCCCCCGGCCCTCCCTTGCCTTTCTTGGGCCTCTGAACTTAGTTTTCTTTAGTTTAAAAACAGCTTTTCCAAAGGGCACCCACCTCGGCAGGCAGCTTTTCGCTGCAGGGCCACACACGCTCGCCAGAGCAAACCCAGGTGCCTGGGACCCACCCACAGGGAGGAGACCGAGCAGCTGTCGGGGGCTGCTGGGAGGTGGCTGCCGGCCTGTCTCCTGTCCCCTCACCCATTGTCACTGCCAGAAGGCCTGGTGACAGGGTGACCCGGCAGGCCTAGGTTATGCCGCCTCGGTGCCCTGCAGCCATCAGGCACCCGTGTTCCTCACGGATCGGGGTAGTGGGGGCCCGGCTCCTCCGCCACAGAGGGCCCTAAGGACCCCAGGAGAGGGTGGCTCCCCGGGAAGCCTAGTGCACAGTAGGGCAGCAGCTGAATGTCTCCTAAACGCCAGTCTGTCTGTTAACCTGTGGTGCAGACAGCCCCGACCCAGCGTGAGCAGCAGCTGTCGGACAGGCCCCTGCAGTCTAGCCCTGGCGGGCGCTCCAGGGGCTCCATCGTGTCATGTGGCCTCAGCAGTGGGGCGCTCACCATGAACCGGGTCGCCCTAGCCCACGTGCCCGAGAGCTCTCACTGATGACAATGACGGTGGGGCTCGCTTGGGCTTTGTGAGCTTTAGGAGTTGGGCTTCCCCAGCCTGTGACTCACACTTCCAGGTCCAGGAGACCATGGATGCACTGGCCGCGGCCCAGGACATGGACAGCAGCCAGGACCTCTACCGGGAGCACGCAGGCCCCCTCATGGAGTGGCTGGCCGCCTCGCACCTTGACTGGACCGTCCACTCGGCAGAGCTCCTGCAGTTCACCGTGCTGCTCGCCCACGCAGGTGAGCTCCCAAAGCCCTGACATCAGGGCGCCTGGGTGGCTGTCAGTTGATCTCACAGTTTGTAAGTTTGAGCCCCACGTCAGGCTCTGTGCTGACAGCTCAGAGCCCAGAACCTGCTTCGGATTCTGTGTCTCCCTCTCTCTCTGCCCCTCCCCTGCTCGCACTGTGTCTGTCTCTCTAAAATAAACAAACATTAAAAAAAAAAAAGCCACAAGGGCTGCCAGACACCACACAGTTCATGTTAGGCCTCAAAGACATGATTGTTCAGGGCCGCTCGTGTAGCCTATGTTCCTCACAACCTCCTCAGTGTCACCACGGACAGAGCACGCAGCGTGGGCCCCCGCAGTCCAGGTGCCTCCGGGCCCATCCCCCCTACCCCCCAGGCCACCGGGTGGATGAAAGAACATTCAGTAGGCAGAGCTTGTGCTCACAGCTGTGCCTTCCCCTGCCCTGTACAGATTCCTCTCTGGGACGGCTCTGGAGGCTTCCCTGGACAGACCTTGTTTCAAAAGATTCTTAAAAAAGGGAGAAAAAGAGATTTGAGACCCTGAGCAGCTTTCCCACCTCCGCCCCCCCAGCTTAGAAAATGGCCAGATGCTGCTTCCCGAAGCGCGGGAGCCCATAAACCTCAGGGCTGATTGGGAAAAGGGGGGATGTGGCCACACTGCACCTTCCCAAGTGTTTCCTCAAAGCGTGAATGTCGTATTCTTACAGCCCATGTGTGGAAGCTTCCTGTTTCACACACAGCCTGCTCTGGCGGGCTGGTCACCCGGTGCCCCTCACCCTGCGTGGCCCCCCATGTCCATCCAGTGCAGGACGCTTGCGGTCACGTGTCTCCTTACCCTGTTGTCCGGAGAGCATCCCACAGACTCAACTTGTTAAAAACGGGATATGTGGCGCCTGGATGGTAAAGGGGACAGTGATGGTGCCAGGGGAAAGTGCATCTGTGGAGAGGCCGGAAGATGCTCCAAAGCCCTTCTCCTCTCTGTACTTTTATGGAAAATCGGCCTCAGGTGGGAGACGGGGGTCTCTCCCTGAGAGAGAGCGCACCTCCACCCCCACCCTCCCAGCAAGAGCTGCCCAGACCTCGGTGTCCTGTGCAGGTGCCCTGGAGGGTGTGAGCAGACAAGGGGTGACCGGCACTGGCAGTGTCCTGCTCCCGGGCCGCACGCCACATCTGCCTTTGTTTCTCTCGCTGCCCCCAGGTTACCTTGCGGCCTCACGTTTCCATGTAGTGGGTTTGACCCCAGATTCCAGACAGCACATCTGGGAAACTTAGGTCGCTTTGTTTGCTCCTGGCCCTGCCGTGGGGACAAGCACGCTGTGAGCGGGGTGGCTGGGGGAGGGCTCACCCAGCAGGGAGGGTGCTCCGTGACCCGTGTCTGTGCCACCCAAGCATGCCTGCACCTCGGGGACTCTTTATTCCGATCACGACTCGTTGCGCTTCCAGATACGAAGGCTCGTTGCCCATGTGGAAGCTGCGCAGGCGCCTGTCTGGCAGAGGCTTGGGAAGGCCGGTGGCTGCCAGGCACAGAGGCGGACAGTGAACACCTTCCGTGTTCTGAATAACTTATTGGGGTTGATCTTTAAAATATTGCTAGACTTAATGCTTTGTTTTGTTTTTAAGAATCTGGGAAACTGTGAGGAAACAGAAAGTCACCATACCAAACAGCACGATTTGGGGGTTAAATGTTTGCTTTTATGGGGACCCCCTCGATCCAAAAAGGAAAGGAAGGCAGTGGAGCAGTCATAGCCGCACCTATGCTGACTGCTGCTCCCCAGCGCCCGGCTGCAGGACCATGGTCACCCATGTGTTGTGTGTTTGCAGGCCCCGCACTGGGAGAAGTGCTACCCCACCTGGTGGCTGTCCTTAGGAGCTGCCTCCAGCCGGCCCGCGACCCGCAAATGCGCCTCCGGCTCTTCTCCTCCCTGTCGCAGCTGCTGCTGAGCGCGCAGCAGACGGTCGACTCCCAGGGGTAGGTCTATCCAGCCCCTGCAGGGTGCTCTCAGGCGGGAGCCAGGGTCACCCTGGGCTGTGGCGCCAGCCGCGGCAGCGAGTACCTGCCCGGACAGATGCGAAGTCCCAGTCCTTTCCACGTGGCTGTTAAAATTCCATCACATGAAGAGGTCGTAGGGAACAGTAACTATTAATGGCTTATGTATTAGCCATTCTCAGCTTTAGATGCCTTTTGGTGCCTTTGAAACCTAACAGAATGGCCCGAATCACCGTTAGTGGTTAAAGGGTGAGGAAGCCCTGTTGTTTGCAAGAACTTGGGGCAGCAAACCCATGTCAGGCCAGCAGACACTGATGGGTCGGGTGCCGCATGGGTGCCCCTCACCCCCTGGCCGCGTGGAGGGTGAGGCGTGTGGGGACCCCATCGCCTCGGAAGAAGCATGTCCTGCCGTGTCACAGGCATGCTGGGACCTTTCCCTGGGGCGGCTCCTCATCACCCCGTCACCCTGTCCCATCCGTGGGCTGGGAACCCTGTTTGCTGCCCATGTGTGTCCTCATTCCAGCGTGGACCTTCCTGTGCGCCAGCGAGCCACTCCATGAAGTCAGCTGCGTGATCTCAGCGCAGTTCTGGCCGGCCCCAGGCTGCTGCCCGACTCTGCACACCAGAGCGGCCGCCTGGCCAGCGCGTGGCCCTGGCTCTTCCAGCCACTTCGCCAGAAGCCTCAGAGAGCAGGACTCGGGGTCAGGTCTTTCCAGGAAGCCCTCACGTAAATCATTTTGCAGGAAATAGGAAAATGCATACAAGTTAAAGCACGTTGAGAACCTAATCGAGTGAGCATGTGTGAGTGTGTGTGCGTGCACATGCACGCGTCGTTCAGAACCAGATTTGCTGCTAACCTGCATCGCTGGCCCTGGGATGCCCCCTGCTGGAGGCAAGCAGGTGGAGCCTTCCCCAGAAGGGAGTCTGTGGAGGAGGAAGCAGAGGAGGGGGACAGAGCCAGAGGCAGGAGGGCAGGGTGCAGGGCGAGCCAGAGGGCCTCCCCTTGGAGACCACACCTTTTTGGTATTCTAGGACAGCTAGTATTTGAGATGTGAGCCACCTTTGAAATGCGCTTTGGAATAAGGTTTAGAAATAAATTGATGAATTTCTTGTTCAAGCAAACGTGTTTGAATCTAATGGTGGCAGTGCAGTAGGATTCATGAGGACGCTCAGGCTTCTCTGAGTGCCTTGTAACAGGGTGCTCAGAGGGGCCCTGCCCCGTGAGCCACAAGGCGGAGCGGGACGCGTGAGCTTACCTCCAGGCCACGCGCCCAGACTGCTGGCAGGAATGCCCACATCTCGGAACCATGGCGCTCAGGCCCTGGGTACAGACCTGCGGTGCTCTCCCCTTGGTCAGAGGGGAGTGTGCGTGTGTAGGACAGCCACACGTGCAAGCAACTTCGCTGGCCTGGTCGATGTGCCCGGTGACCTCACGCCTCCTTTTTCAGAGCCCAGTAGAGACAAGCGAGGCCCCTGCAGCTTAGCCTCACCCCTGCAGCTCAGGACCTGGGGCTGGGCCCAGCAGAGGCCACCAGGAGCTGGGAAGGATCCTGGCTCTCCGCTCCCCCCCCCACGCACCTCCTCCCCTGCAGGGCACCCGCCCTAGGGAGGCAGCCATCCCCGTTCCGGCTCCCCTCTGCCCCATGGGCTCCCTTTACCCGCCCTCTCTTGTCTTCACCCCAGGCACTTTCACCACTACCTCGACACTGTGACAAAGGACATCTTGGTCCCCAACCTGCAGTGGCATGCGGGGAGGACGGCCGCAGCCATTCGCACGGCGGCTGTTTCCTGCCTCTGGGCACTCATCAGCAGTGATGTCCTGACGGAGGAGCAGGTGGGGCTCTGGGGACACCTGCAGGGGGTGGGGGGAGCACACCTGCAGCCAAAGGCTGCTTTCTGAATCTCACGGGGTGTGGAGGGGAGCCACCCGCCAGCGTGACCCAGGCATTTTGCTTTCGATCACCTGGGGCTTCTCTTAGGTGTGTGTGTTGAATGCTGTTCTTTACAGAGCAGAGAGCGTTGCCACAGGAACCTGCCTAAGCTTGGCCGACCTTGGTGTTTCTGCACTGCTGTTCCACCTACCTGGAGCTAACGGGATTAGGGAAATGGGGTGGGGGGGGTTCTGCAGGTTGAAGGCCTTGCTGTCACTCCGCTCAGCCCCAGGGCTGCACACACCTGGCCAGGTGATCATCTACTGTGTGAGCCCCACCTCCTGGGCCACGGAACCACCGTGGTTTTTTCTAAAACAGATTTTCTTTTATTATCTTTTTTTTTTTTTTTTTTTACTTAAACCCAAGTTAGTTAACATACAGGGTAATAATAATTTCAGGAATAAAATCTGGTGATTCATCATTTTTGGATGACACCCAGGGCTCGTCCCAGCAAGTGCCCTCCTTAATGCCCCTCACTCATTGAGCCCATCCCCCGCCCAGCAGCCCTGTTTGTTCTCTGTAGTTAAGAGTCTATTGTGGTGTGCTTCCCTGTCTGTATTTATCTTGGTTTTTTTTTTTCACTTCCCCCGTGTTCGTTTATGTTGTTTCTTAAATTCCACATCAGTGAAATCATGTGGTGTTTGTCTTTCTCTGACTGACTTACCTTATTGAGCACAATGTTCTCTAGTTCCATCCACGCTGTTGCAAACGTGAACCGCCACGATCTGAGTTAGAACATCCCGCATGGCGTGGACACAGCAGGCAGCCAAGCTGGGATGGGGCAGCCTGTGGGCTTCCCTCCCCGCGGCCTCGTGAGTGATGGACTTATCCCCCCACCACATTAAATAAAACTCTTCAGATCACCTAGATTTTATTTCTTTTGTTTCTTTTTTTAGTGTTTATCTTTGAGAAAGAGCGTGAGCGTGGGAGGGCCAGAGAGAGGGAGACACAGAATCTGAAGCAGGCTCCAGGCTCTGAGCTGTCAGCACAGAGCCCGAGGCAGGGCTCAAACTCACAAACTGCGAGATCATGACTCAAGCTGAAGTCAGACGCTCACCCGAATGAGCCACCAAGGCACCCAAGTCATCTAGATGTTAAAGTCAAAGTTCATGTTCTCATATAAAAGTTTCAAAAGAGCTTTCCAGACTCCTTTATGTTTGTGAGAGCCGGGCTCCTTCGTTGTGGGTGACGTGTACACAACGAGCGACCCACTCTGTCACCGCTGGGGCAGAGCTGGCCACCACTCCCCCTCTGTCTTCTGATCGCAGATCCGGAAGGTGCAGGAAACGCTGATGCCGCAGATTCTAACTTCCCTAGAAGAGGATTCTCAGATGACTCGATTAATTTCGTGCCGAATCATGACCACGTTTCTGAAGACCTCTGGTGGTGCGGCTGACCCCGATAAGCTCATCGGGATTTACCCCGGTAGGACCGTGTGGGTCTGTCTCTTTTAGAGAGAGACAGACATTGGTACTTGGACTTTCGTTGGGCTTGGGGCCAGGAGTCCAAACGCAGCCGTGGCTGACGAGCCGTCAGTGAGCATGGGCGCTGCATGTGGGGGCGAGGAAGGCAGCCCCAGCCTGGGCCGCGGGGCCCCCGGAGCAGGCACTGCAGCCAGGCCCAGCTGTGAGGACAGACGCGGCACTCCCGCACCAGCCACGTCTTCCATCCCTCGCCTCTGCTTCTGTGGAGCCCACGCCCCAGGGGAGTCTCAGGGGCAGAGGCAGAGGAACCCCCCCCCTCCCGCCACCCAAGCGCAGTAGCAAGTGCAGAGGGTTCCTGAGAACATGGAGCACCCAGTGTTGAGGAGAATAAGGATCCCAACGCTACAGGGATAGACGTTTTGGAAGCCAGCTCAGAGCTCTGACAAGATTGCAAACAGGTACGAAGGTACAGATGAGAAGGAGCCCAGCAGATGTTCTAGGCTTGTGCGTGCCGATGGGAGGGAGGGCCCTGTGGAGGAGATCCAGGAAGAGGTGGAAGAGGAGAGAAGATGGTGGATGGCGAGGAGGAGGTGGAGGGGGAGGTAGAGAAGATGTAGGAGGAGATGGAAGAGGAGAGGAAGAGGAGATGGAGGAAAAGGTGGAGGACAAGGAGGAGATGGAGGAGGAAGAGGAGGTGCAGGGGGAGGTGGAGTATGTGGAGGTGGAGGAGGAGAGACTCAGGAGGAAGAGGTGGAAGAAATGGAAGAGGGGCGGAAATGGTGGACGAGGAGGAGGAGGAGGGTGATGGACAAGGAGGAGGTGGAGGACGGTGAGGAGGAGAAGGTGGATGAAGAAGAGGAAGTGGAGGAGGAAGAGAAGATGCAGGAGGTGGAGGTGGAGGAGGGAGGGGTGGAGGAGGGAGAGATGGAGAGGAGAGGGAGGGGGAGATGGAGAGGAGATGGGGAGGGGGAGGAGGAGCATCAGCGTCAGCTGTGATGAGCAGCATCTGCGGGCGCACCCCATCTCCATGCCCCGTTGTAGCCACACAGCCGTGCTGTCATCTGCACTACAGGACGTAGTCGTTCCTGAAAGGTGGTTTTCAGAATTCCTGGAAATGAAAACCAGTCCCCGAAATCCAGAGCTGGAGCCACTGGTGCTTGAGACTGAACGTGGCAGGGACAGGGGACAGGGGCTCCCGTGCGCGCTCCCAGCTCTGGGAGGAGGGGTATACTGCTGACGCTGGAAGAGGTGGCGGCTCAGAATATTCTGGAATTGCAGACAGTGCATCTTGATGTGGAGCAGGAAGCCACCTGGTGAAATCAGAGCTGAAGTCACCTTTCTCGCATGTTCCTTCAAGTTTCTTTTTCGCTTTTTGTGTTTAGTTTTGTCACAACAAACACCACATTCCTACCACCGGCCTTCACCGTTCTGTTTGTGAACAGGTCATTTGGTGATGGTAGGGGTCTTTTGGGATTTTGCTCACGTCTAAAAGCAAGAGCCAGTGAACAGACTGCACGTATTTGGGCTTTGGGGGCTGTTTTCATTACAAAAGGATTTCCTCACCCGCTCCTTTCTTGGGACCAGTTCCGTGTTTGCAGGGGGTAGGACATGTTTGCAGGGGGTGGGACACCCCGAAGTCCTATCAAGGACACGTATGCACCCAACACGGGCTCCACAGGAGCCGGCCTTTGTTCCGAGGCCGCCATAGCATGTGACACCAACCCCGGGCACAGATGTGCATTTCCAGCCACTTCTTGAAACCGGAGGCTCCAAGGGCACTGGCACAGGGAAACACACCGCGCTGTGTCAGCCTGAGCTGGAGGGAGTGAGGACAGGGAGGAGTCCCTGCGGGCCGCTGGTGGTGGTGTGCCCACCGGGCCATGGTCTTGGGACTGGGTGATGCCCAAACCCTTAGGAAAGCGCGCCTGCCCTGAGGTGGCACCCGTTGGGAGTCCGAAGGGCCACGTGCAGGGAGCAGAGCAGCACAAGCCCGCAGCCCTACCTGCTTGCTTCCGGGACCAGGCCTCCCGCCCCCTGGGGGCCACAGCCCTGCTCCCCCGCCATGGCTACCTCCTGCCCTGCTCACTGAGTGCCCGAGCGACTGCTGAGTCCCCAGAGGCACCCAGCCAGTCCACAGGTCCAGCAATCTCTTGTAGTTGGGTGAGAGAAGTATATGTGTGATAAAAACCTCACCCATGAACAGCGAGGGTTTCTATTCACTGGAGACATGGGTCCTGTTTTCAGCGGCCAAGTGGTCTGGCCTCAGAGCTCAGCAGAAACAAAACTGATATAGGTGCTGGCTGTCGTGTCACTGGGCCCTGAGCTCTGTCCCCAGAGTCCAGTGGGGTGGGGAGGGGGGCACATCAGGGGGCCAGGGCAGCCAGGGTGGGATGCCCGAGGTGACAGATGAACATCTCAGAGCCACAGAGAGCCCGGGGATGCCTCACAGGTGAGGTAACAGGGAGAGCAGCTCGGGCAGTCCGCTGCTCTTCCCACCCTGCCCGGTGTCCACCCTGTGGCCAGTGGGACACCAGGAGCTGCCCCCAGGCCCTGGCACGTCAGCACCAATGTCCTCACAGAATGTTGGTTTCCCAGGGCTGAGGGCAAGTGCCCCGGGTTGGGGCAACCCCGCTCCAGAGGCTCCAGCGCACGTCTGTGCCGGCTTTGGTCTCACTGTCGCCCCCGCCCTCCCTCCAGAACTCCTGAAGCGTCTGGACGACGTCTCCCACGAAGTGAGGCTGGCAGCTGCCTCCAGCTTGGTCACGTGGCTGGCGTGTGTCAGAAACGACGATGGGAAGTCCTACTACCAGAGCCACATTCAGTTCCTGTACAGAGAGCTCCTCGTGTACCTCGACGACCCAGATGGCTCTGTCCAGGACGCAGTTTTAGGTAGGAGCCCCCGCAACGTGTGCTGCGTTGTGAAGCCCGTCCCAAGTGTGTGAGCTCGGCCGCACAGGGCCCCTGTGCACTGGTCTCCAGGGTGGCGTACAGCCCTCCACGTTTACCATGATAGAAACTAATGTTGAGAAAAATAATTGGTTATCTGTATAGCGTAACCGAAAGTCCATTACATGTTAAAGTAACTAATCTGTAGTTTTAAAAGGTAAATTTTCTTTTTTTCTTAAATTTTTTTTAACATTTATTTGTTTTTGAGAGAGAGACCCCACCAGTGAGGGAAGGGCAGAGAGAGGGGGAAACACAGAATCTGAAGCAGCTTCAGGCTTCGAGCCATCACACAGAGCCGGACATGGGGCTTGAACTCACGAACCGTGAGGTCATGACCTGAGCCAGCGTAAGATGCTCAACCAACTGAGCCACCCAGGCACGCCGGAAACATATTTTCTAAAACACAATAACACACAAACAGAGTAGCATCGCCTTGCCCTTCTGCACATGTGGATAGAAGGAGCTGAGTGTTCGCAGCTTCTGTGTTCTTGGCCATGGCGCGCGTTCTCGGCCATGGTGCGCGTTCTCGGCCATGGTGCCTGTTGTTGGGGTAGTGCGTGAAGGAACTGGCCCACAGGCAGGTACACGGTCAGAGGCCAGGGTGCCTGTTCGCGGAACTACAGGTGGACCTTGATGCCACCCCGAACCGGCCATGCGGTCGTCCCAGGGGGAGGTCCCGTGGGGGTTGACTCCAGTCCTCTTGGGGGGTCACACGGAGTTTTACTATACCCACGCCTGTTGGTTTGTCCTGCATGGTGAACACACGTCAGCTATCGAATCACATGTATCGTCCTGACATTGACGTTTCGTTACACTGTGTCCAGAAGTCATGTTTGTGGGCATCGAGCTCAGAAAAGTCTCAGGAAGAAGAATTGCAGGAAGCCATCCAGCCAGCGGCGGCGGGAACAAGCTTCCCAATTGCAGTTTCCACCTGAAACCTTAAATCTTATCATTGGCCATAAGCGCTGTCACTCTGTTCATTTCTGAGACAGGGTGCTGCCAGGCACCCAAGTGCAGGTGACCTGAGTCTGTGTGTTGTCGTGGGGGCGGCGTCCTGGGGACCCAGACACACCCACTGTGCCCCTCCCCCCACCCGCCACCAGAGCAGGGATGTGAAGCACAGTGAGCGTGTGCTGCCAAGTAGTGCAGGCACAGTGCCGACAAACAGGTCTGAGGGGGCCCTAAAAATACTCAAAACACCAATGCGGAGTCAGGAGAGGGGCCCAGGAGGGGCACAGAGGCAGGGACAGACCGCAGACAGACACCGGATCCAATCTCTGCCGCAGTCTCATCGAAGGTTAACGAGCTGAACGTTCTAGGTAAAAGGTAGACGTTGTCAAGTCAATAAAATTATCACAATCTAACTCTAAGTTAATGAATTAAATTAAAATTTGGGTGCCTGATCTAACAAAAGAATTTTTACTGCTTTATCAAGTACATTCTTGAGGGAACTTGGTGGGTGTGGGTGGCACCGGGAGGTTCATGGACCCCACAGCAGGCCACCCCTGCTTCGCCGCACAGTGAGTGGGCAGCCGGGCCCTGTGGTGTCCTGGACACGGTTTTGACTCCCAGACCCCTGAGGGCCGTCTCTGCAGGTGTGGGCGACAGCTGGGTGGTGCTGTGCGCAGGCTGGGCCTGGGCTGCTTGGCCAGGTCCTCACAAACACCACCTTGCTCTCCTCGCTGCCCCACCCCCGCCCTCAGAAGAGCGAGAACAGCCCTGTCCCTCTTCCCTGGCCTGCAGCCCAGAGGCTGCCAGAGCCCCAGGGTCCAGGACCCAGGGGAGCAGCACGTGCCTTGCACGTCCTTAGCCTGCCAAAGGTGGCAGAGACGTTGGGGCAGGTCAACCCCTCTGCCCCTGCCCCCCAACCTTGGTGTGCACGCTGACCTCAGCACTCAGGCAGCACCAGCCCTTAGCATGTCCCGCCCTCTCTGTCCCTGCTTGAGAGTCAGGCATGGACTAGCCCCAGCTGCCCTCGTCCCTCCGTTTCAGCAGACCAGGGAAGGCTCCTTATGACTGGCTCCCCCTGCTGGCCTCCCATCGGCACCTCACGCCTCGGGGACCTCCTGACTAAGGACTGTTCTTCTGTCCCATGGCCAGCCTGTGTGTCCCCTGACCCCCAGAGCCATTCTTGTCCTGGTGCCCGAGAGCCTGGCTGCTGAGGGCTGCCCTCTGCCTGGGACTCTTCCTCTGCACCTGCTCGCACTCGGACAGGACTGCGGGACACACCCCTGTGGTGCCTGTGTCTCTTCCCGTCCCTCTGCTTTCTGCACTTCGCATCTTGGTGACCTCGTCTCCTCTCCTGGCTTCAGACGCCACCCATGTGCAGGTGTCCCCCTAAAGTAAGTCCAGGCTGGACGTCTGCCCTGGACTCTAGACATGCACACGCCCAGGTACTCCAAGAACACAAGAGTCTGCTGGGCACCACAGCGTGACCTTCAGGCCAAGCCCAGGCACCGGCCCCTACTCGGCAGCCCCGCTCCCCCCACCCTGTCCCCATTCCCACCAGTGCTCATTCCATCGCCCTCGTGACCGAGGGCACACGCTTCAGAGGCGAATCCAATGGCCTCCTAAGTGTGCTTGCCTCCACTCGCCCCTCCTGCGTCTACCACAGCGCTCCCGCAAGGCAGCTTGGTTGAGGCCAGTCCTCAACCCACTGCGCCCTCCAACTCCCTTCCCACCCAGAGCCCGGCACCCGCCAGACCCCCTCCATGGCCATCCCAGTGGTGACCAGGAAGACTCTGCCCTCTCCTCCTTCTGACTGTGCTCCTCCCAGCCTTCCTCCTCCTTCTGACTCTCGTGTGCTCCTCCCAGTCTTTCTCTTCCTCCTTCTGACTCTCGTGTGCTGCTCCCAGCCTTCCTCCTCCTTCTGACTCTCTGTGCTCCTCCCAGTCTTCCTCCTCCTCCTGACTCCCACATGCTGCTGTCAGACTACAGTGTGAAGGGTCACTGGACGGAAGTCCTCGGAGTCCAGCACACAGGAGGCCTGTGAGAGGTGTTTGTTGAGTGAATCAGCACCATCAGTGTAATGAGAGGATTGACTCATCCTAGGCCAGTTCGTCTGCTAACATACATTTCTAAGGCCAAAATGACATGCAAAACCCACCATTGGGGATTTTGAGTCTTTTGTGATCCATCAATAGCTCCAAGATTTTTTTTTTAAGTTTATTTATTTGAGAGAGTGCAAACTGGGAGGGACAGAGGGAGTAGGAGGGTCTCAAGCAGGCTCTGTTCCCAGCACAGCTGGACACGGGGCTCGAACCTACAACACTGTGAGATTGTGACCTGACCGAAATCACAATCCAGACCCTCAGCGACTGAGCCTTCTGGGCGCCCCTCTGATATATTTTATTCTGTTTGCCTATGCTGTGAGCCTTGTGTCCTTAGGGTTAGAGCTAAATTGAGAGGAAGGTACAGAAATTTCTCGCATACCCACTGCCCCCCCATACACACCACCGCTCCCCACTGGCGGTGCCGTGTCTCTTGCTGTGTGGACCCACACTGACACGTTCATGGCACCCAGAGTGCAGCTGCTGAGAGGCTCGCTGTGTAGGTGTGCACGGACGTGTGACCTGGCCCCGCCACTCGAGAGTCACACAGAATAGCTACACGGCCCTGCGTGCTCTGCCTAAGGCCTCTCACCCTCCCCTTGCCCTAACAGCCACTGGTTTGTTACCATGTTCATAGTTTGGCCTTTTCTAGAACGTCGTGGAGTCGAGAGTCCTACACTATGAAGTTTCCAGATCGGGCTCTTGTACTTGCTGATATGCATTTAAGTTGCTTCCGTGGCTTTTCGTGGCTTCACAGCTCGTTTCTTCTCAGCATGAATAGTAATCCATCGTCCAGGTGGACCATGGATTCTGTGCCCGCCCAGCTACTAGACGGTTTGGACAAAGCTGCTGTGAGCACACGCGTGCAGGTTTTGTGTGCACAGGAGTGTTCGGCTCCTTCGGGTAAACACCAAGCGGCACAACTGCGGGATTACGTGGTGAGAATATACTAGTTTCGTAACAGACCGCCAAGCTATCTTGCAGAGTGGCTGCCCCGCTTCACATCTGTGGCCTTGCCGGGTCCTGGGGGCCACCGTGGTGGGGGTCGTGGCCCTTCTGACAGGCGCGTGGCGGCATCCCCTTGCTGTTGCCTCCACACGTAGGACACACGACATGGAGCATCGTCTCAGGATGCCCGTCCTCACCCTGCGTCTACCCCCTGCTGACATATCGTTAGGTCTTTGACCCTGTCTTACTTGGATTGTTGTCCTGTTGAGTGTTTGGAGTTCTTTGCATGATATGGTGGATCACAGTCCTTTAGGAGATGTGCCTTTTGTAGACATTCTCCTCCAGCCTGAGTCTGGCCTTCTCAGTCTTGACACTGCCTTTTGCAGACACACATGTGGAGGGCAGTGACGGCAGGCCATCAGTTACTTCCTCTGTGAGTCTTTCCTTGGACGTTGTGTCTGAAAGCCATCACCATGCCCAGGGCCACCCAGGTTCTCTTGAGTGTTCTCTTCCAGGAGTTCTGTGCTTTTTCGTACTTTTCCCAGTTTTATATTTAGGTCTATGATCCGTTTTGAGTTAGCTTTTGTGAAGAATGTAACATCCATGTTTAGATTCTTTTTCCCCAGGCCAGTGGACGCCCACTCGTTCCAGCTCCATTTATTGAAAAGACTGCCTCTGCTCCTCAGTGTCACCTGTGCCTGCTGCCACAGGCTGGATGAGCAGGTCCGCGTGTGGGCTCTGCCCTGGCCCAGCCAGCCCCCTATTCTTGCAACGACACCACGCTGTCGACTCTGTGGCTTTACGGGAAGTCTCAAAGTCAGAGTGTGTGTCTTCTCCAGCTTTTTTGTTCTCCTTCATCATTCATGGGCGCTTCAGGGTCTTTGCCTCTACGTATAGACTTGACATTCACTTGGCCCATGTCTGCAAAACAACTTGCTGGGGTTTGATTGTGATTGCCTTAAATCCATAGATCAAGTTGGGGTGCCACTGAGTTGAGCCATGTGCTCACTGGCTTTCTCCCGGCCAGGTCTGTCCATCTCTGACAGGGCACACAGAAGTCTCCAGACACATGGTGGATTCATCTGCCTCGCACGGTCTGGCACCCTGTCATTAGGTGCCTACGTGTACAGGCCTGCTGGTCTCTAGGAGATCTGCCCTTTGTCATTAGTGCCACTCGGTCCCCGCGCTTTCCCTGCTCTTCATCAACAGGAATTGGTTTTGTCTTATCTGGCATGTCACCGGTTTTGTGCTGTTTTACAGAGGTCCTCAAAGCAGGCAGCGCTCTGTTCCCTGAGCTCCTGGCGCGAGAAACCGAGGCCGTCGTCCACAAGCACCGCTCCCCGGCCCTCTGCCAGCAGCTTCTACAGCACCTGCAGGCCCTGCCACCCACCCAGTGAGCGCGGCCCGTGCTGGGGGGCCCCGAGCTCCCATCCACCCCCGGTCCGGGCTCAGGCCCTCCACCCCACAGCAGGGCACCTTGCTGTCAACAGCCTGGGACGTTCATGGGCAGGAGTGTTCCGAAAGTGCACGCAAGATTCTCCGAGACACTTCCCGGGCCCCACAGTTTCTTGAAATAACATTCGATGAGTGGTTTCTTTGCGTTTATGTCTTATGTATGCAGTTCATTGACAGATCGCCCCAAAATCTACGGTTGATTTGAAAGTAGAACAAAATGGCACCTGCTTACCCTGGCAGCCGAATCAGCCTGTCTGTCTCGCAGCGACATGCACCTGCTGCGCTCGTGGGTCAGTGTCTCTGTCATGCGTAAATGCCCACCCCACCCAGAAAGTTCTTGACTCCTTTTCTTCCAAGCAAAAGTTATGAAAAAGAAATTTCATTCTTTTTTTGGGTTGTGTCTACTAAAACTTAGCAGGCAGTCAACACACTAAAAGGAATTTAAAATCTTTATCAGTTACAGTTTTCCATTTAAAATATCCTGGAACTCAGAGTGTTACGTGGATACATTTGGTCATGATGTTTCTTCTTAGAAACATGCAAACAGTGTTGAAAATAGGGTATTTAATCAGATGTAATTTTGGTAGCTCTCTTACATAAGCAGCAGTAAAGCAAAATTGCATTTTATTCTCTAGCACTTTCTACACCCAAGTGCCTAAAAAATTTTATTTTAAATGGATATTATTTCCATAAGCCAAATATTTATGTTAATGGGAAAAATACTGTGTGTATTTTCTAACAATCAAATATGAACATTTATGCTTAGAGTTTGAGAATTTAATTAAAAATAATTTATTATAATTATTCTGTGTGCCTGTGTTAATGTGCTTTGGTAGTTAATCAACATTTTTAGAAATCGCTCATTTGTTCCTTAGATCTCATCTCACAGGGCCCCCGCCCCCAGATTTGGGCGGCCAGTTCCAGGCTCTCCCACTGCCCAGTGCAGTGCCTTCTCTGGACACCAGGTGGCAGGGGCTCCAGACCCCATTGGGAGGTTGGCCCCCAGGCTGCGAGGGGCCCTTGTGTGCGTGTGCCCTGAGGTGCGGGCGGGGGAGGGGGCAGGCCTGGACAGGTAGCAGATCCAAACCTGCGCCGCAGACTGGGTTACTGCCTCCCAGGTCCCACAGGGACGCGTCCCCAAGCTGTGCACTGCCCTTGCCTTTCCCACACTTGAAAGCCTCCAGTTGTGATTGCCGCCAGAGCCCAGTTCTGTCACCGATGGCCCCGGGCGTGTGGGCTGCCCTCGGGTACATCACGTGCCAGTTCCCTGATTGCCCTTTGCCCTTTGTACCCCGTGCTGTTCCTTTCTCAGCATCCCCTGCAGCCCGGCTGGAAATACAAGTTGTAGGGCATCAGCCAGACCTGCTGAGTCAGCGCCTGGGGTGTGCCTGGTGGCCCGCCCTCCAGAGACCCTGCCCTGAGCATCACCCGTCTTCACGTCCAGCAGGGGCTCCCTCTTCTGTCTTTGGTCAGCCATGAAGGGACACCGAAACCAAACGGAAGTGGCAGAGAGCTTGGCCGAAGGTCACACTCACAAGGCAGGCGCAGTATGTCCTGGCATTGATGGCTGCCCATCCCAGCTCCGTGCTGGCCGCCAGAGAAAGAAGAGCGAGATATTCAGGTTCAGGGTCCACCCATCTTCAAGGGGAAGTGTGCAGAGGCAGCCGGACAGGGTCAGGGCCAGGGCCAGCCGTGTGACATGAGCAGGTGTGCATCCAGAGAAAGATGGCTCAGCCGGAACGAGGTTAGCAGTCTGAGCACCTGAGAACCAACGTGTCCGTCTTCGCTTCACGTTTACAAAGTGTTGGGAACTCTTCACCCAACTCCTCAAGTATTCACGGAGCCTTCTCCGCCCTGTGCTGCTGGCCGAGAACAGGGACACGTAGGATTTAGTCCCTTGGGGCATGGGGGAGTCTCAGTCGGTTTAGCATCCTCCTCTTGATGTCGGCTCAGGTCATGATCTCACGGTTCCTGGGATCGAGCCCCACAGCGGGCTCAGTGCTGACGGTGTGGAGCCTGTTTGGGATCCTTTCTCTCTTCTTCCCTCTGCCCCTCCTCCACTAGCACTCTCCCTCTCTCTCTCAAAATAGATAAAAAATAAACATTAAAAAAATTAGTCCCTGCAAGTTTACAGCATTATTGAGATGTAATTTATGGGGTTGCATGCCCACTGCCATGGCTGATTCGGCTCACTGTCACCCAGAGAGCCCCTCACTCCGCCCCACCCCACCCCTGCCCCCGATCCTTACTCGCATTCCCAGCCCCAGCAAGCGTGGAGCTGCTCTGTCTCAGGTGCTGTCTGTTCTAGAAGCTCATATCCATGGGACCCGATGGTAGGTGCTCTTAGGCATCTGGCTTTTTTCACATAGCGTAGTTTTTGAGGCTGTTCATATGCTGGTTCAGGGATCAGCACCTCTTTCTGGAAAGAGCCAGAGGGTAAATATTTTAGGCTTTGTGGACCCTACAGTCCCAGCGCTGCTGTTTTCCATTCACCTGTTGATGGGCATTTAGGTTTGAGGCCGTTATGAACAAAGCAGCTCTGAGCTCTGTGGTACGTGTGGGAGGCATGATCCTATTGCTCATGGGCAGCACCTCCGAGTTGAATTACTAGGTCTTATTCAATACGTTCTTGTAGCCCCTGATTGATTGATTGATTCCTGTTGTTAACTGCTTCATTGGGGGATGCTTGCCTTGCTCTTCACTGCACATACTTATAGTGGGCAATTTGTGCGAATCCCGACCCACGCGGACACGCACAGAACCACCACCATAGGGCAGACTGCCAGCCTCCCGGCCAACCTCCCTGCCACCCCCATTCTCTCCTGCCCCTCTCCCCACCTCCAGGGAACTCAGATCTGCATGTGGTCACGACCCAGCAGTCTGCACCTCATGGGACTGTATGTAAGAGGACTTAGAATGTGTTTCCGGTTTCGTTTCTTCATCTTCAGTGTAACTGAGCTGTATCCATGCTGTAGCGCCCACCGGTGGCGGCTCATTCCTTTTTGCTGCTGAGCAGTATTCCATCCCATGCCTGCACCACACGTGGTGCATTTGCCCCCAGCTCACAGCTGTCACGAAGAAGGCTTCTCAGGACAGTCATGTGCACATGGTTGCATGGACACGTGCTTTTGTCTCTCTGGGGCGGACGTCTAGGAGGGCACGGCAGTTGCAGAGGGTTGCACTCAGTTTCGAGAGACTGTCCAGCCGTTTGCCAGAGCGCCAGCACCTCTGTCCCACCAGCACCAATCCATTTGCGTCTTTAGCCGGTCCACTCTGACAGGCACGTTGGGGCCTGGGGATGGCTTCAGTGTGCATTTCCCCAACGCCTGATGACGGGGCATTTTCCATGTGCCTGTTTGTCCGTCCGTATGTCTCCACTGGTGAAATATCTTCAACTCCTGCTCTTTTTTTTCAAAATGAGCTTTTCTCCTTGAATATGAGAGTTCCGATATTCTGGATACAAGAGCTTCGTCGCTTAGGTTCGCAAATACCTCCTCTCCTTCTCGAGCTTGTTTCCGTCTTCTTCTTTGGGATTTTTTTTTTTTTAAATAACCTCTATATCCAGCGCGGGGCCCAAACTCCGAACCCGAGACCGAGAGTCGCATGCTCCACCGCCTGGGAGGGCACGGAAGAAACTCGTGAGGGTGGTGGCCTCTGGGGAGGGGGCCTGCCTGTCAGGCCAGCAGCCTGAGCTCTGTCTGTGCCCTTTGGTACCTTTGAATTTACTTTCTTTCAAAAATGTTTGTTGGGATGCCTGGGTGACTCCATCAGTTAAGTGCCCGACTTCGGTTCAGGTCATGATCTCACGGTTCAGGAGTTTGAGCCCCACATTGGGCTCTGTGCTGATCGCTTAGAGCCTGGATCCTGCTTCAGATTCTGTCTCCCTCCGTCTCTCTCTGTCCCTCCCCTGCTGTGTTCTGTCTGTCTCTCTCTCAAGAATAAACATTTTTTTTAATGTTTATTTTGATAGAGTGAGCTGGGGAGGGGCAGAGAGAGGGAAAATCCCAAGCAAGCTCCTCACAGTCACTGCAGAGCCCAACGCAGGTCTCAGTCTCACAAACCATGAGATCCTAACCTGAGCTAAAGTCGAGTAGGGGAGGCCCCATAGACTGAGCCCCCGGGCACCCCGTGTCTGCTTTCACACACGTGTGTGAGCCAGGCAAGAACACCACGCCGCTGAGACTCAAGTCAGAGATGCTCTGGCCCCACGTGATGTGTTTAGCTCATGGGTCAGCTCGCCTGTTTCTTCCAGAGCGCGCAGGGCCTCATTCCAGGGAAGGGTACTCAGGGTGCCCGAGCCAGAGGTTTATCAAGAAGCTGTTTTGTTGAACGAAAATGCACACACTTGTACCCATGTGTTCACAGCAGCCGTACCCCAGCCCCAAGCTGGAAATCACCCTCATGCCCCATCAACAGTATGAACGCGTAACAAGCTACCCACTGGACAGCACTCCCCCTCTGCTGCCGGAGTGGCACTCACACGTAACCATGTGGAAACACACTGGTGGTACCCCCCACCCCCAGGATTTCTTCCAGGCAGAACTCTACAACAGGCAAGGCCCTGCCATGGTTGTTTTGTTTTGTTTTGTTTTTTTCAGTTCATTTGTTTCTTTTGAGATACAGCATGAGCAGGAGAGAGACAGGGAGGCAGAGAGGGAAAGAGGGAATCCCAAGCAGGCTCCACACCATCAGCACAGAGCCCAACGCAGGGCACAATTTTAGGAGTCATGAGATGGTGGCCTGAGCCAAAGTCAGGAGTTGGATGTTTAAACAGTTGAGCCCCCAGGCGCCCCCACAGTTGCTTTTCAACCACTGAATCAACAACGGTCATTTCAGGGACCGTTACCCTATTTTTTCCGCCTACACATGTGTGAACATGAGAGAGGAATTACTGGACGTTACTTAGCGTGGGCTACGAGTACCTCTTCTTTCGCAACTCCCCCATGCTGAGTCATGTAACATTGAAAGCATTTTCCCAGGCCACAGCAGCATGCTGGTGGGCGACAGCTGCTGTCTCAGAAGGGAGCCGCAGCCTTCGCTCGTGCATTGTTCCCCCAGCCCCTCCTTTGACCTGGACGTGTCCGTGGCCTTGTCCCCAGGTCTGAGCCTCCTTCCTGTGACCCGTCCTGGCTGGGGCAGGGAGGCCTGGGACCTGCACCAAGGACGGCGGCACTTGCGGACTTGTTCCCAGGCACCTGCGCAGGTCCGGTTTGGGATAGTGTCACTTGGATATGTGGCAGTGCCTGGTGCTGGCGGACGAGTACAACCGCAGACAGAAGAATCCACAAAGAAGTCTGTGAGTTCTCTCTCTGGCCTAACTGCTGGCACCTTTATCCTCTAGGACTTCGTCAGGTTGTATTTTTGTTCTTGAGATTGTGAGTTGACCATTTTGGCCAAGATTGAGAGCAAAGAGGTGTAGCAGCCGTGGCAACAAGGGGACACCGCCTTGTAAGTGAATGTGGGGAACTACCTGGCTTAGGTGTGCAACGCGGGTGAGGCTCCGGTCTCTGGACCCCAGGATCAAGTACTGTGGGCTCTGTGCACACAGGAGGGGTTTGGGTTCTAGAACAAGCACATGCACCAGCCTCGCCGCCTGCACAGCTGCAGGTCACCAACTTGCTGGAAATGGCCTCCCGGGGACTCCCGGGGACACTTCACTTGTCCTTGAGAAGGGCCTTGGGCTTTGTGGCGGGATGACAGCCCTCGCCACCAGCCCCACTCATCAGAGTGTTTTAGCCTGCTCTTCCCCTTATTCATGATGTGAAATTAATATTTCAGGAGCTACTGTGAATATTTCACAT